ATTATAAAGAACTGGGGAAATTATAAAAAATGTGATGTATATCTATGTACTATTTTTAACACTTTGTATGCAAAAGGTGACGAGCATATGTACCTATTGAAGTGATTTCGATAGCTAATAATTGAACATTTCGATATATTTTATTGAGTATACAAACAAACTGATCCCACGTGTGTCAGATGGAAAGGCTGTATTTGTTGTATATCTCTAATCGGCTTAACCGTTCGATTCAACAATCGTACGCCTTTATTGGGCCCCTTTACCGCGACACAATCGAAGGCGTTTCAAGAATTTATCGAAATTAATTCACAGTTTGTTTGCCCATTGTTGAGCTACCGACGACTTAGTACCATTGTGTAAAGTGTTATTATTTATATAAGAAACGACAATGCTTTGTTCAAAAGTGTTTCTGAATGGTCTAGCGAAGGCGTTACAAATGTCGGTACCTATATTATTTTGAACTTATTGTAAACAGAATAAATACACATATATGACAAAAATGCAACTTTTCTATCCATTACAAAAACCGTAGTATTCGCATCACACCATCTGATAAGTAATGATTAAGTAACAAATTACATTGTTTAAAAGTAGGAACTTAAAAAGTAGTGGCGTAACTTAATGAATTCGGTATTAGTTATGTAACTCTGACTATAGATATATCTATTTTGTATAGGTTTATATAGTTTACTCACTAAAAAGCTATAGTTTGTTTGACATAAATAAAAAATAAAAATAAGTAGCAAAAGTAACAAGTATTACATTCACAGAACAAAATCACGAATATATACATTTATTTTAGTCAGTACAATTGCTAATACATAACTAAACATCTGTGCATTTCGACTAGCCGTGGTCACGAGCAGACTGAAGTTGACAGCAGTCATTTCACCTTATAGTTGATAAGGTGAAACGACTGCTGTCAACTTGCGATTGAAATCGCTGTACTCCAGTCTGCTCGTGACCACGGCTAGTCGAAATGCATAGATGTTTAGTTATGTCAGTCATTTCACCTTATCAACTACCATCATTAGAGATTCTAAGGAAAGATCACGACACACAATACTCACGGTGTCCATACACTTATTGACTGATGCTGAAGTTATTTGTCACTGAATTCCACAGATTATAATTTACGCCATTTTCCCGGTTGAAACGTTTTATAAATTCTATCGACTCCCGTAGAAATGGTTAATAATAGTAGTGATCAGTAAGAGCCATCAGATCTCACCATAACAAAAAAGTCCAGGAAGGCCAGTGATCTGTGTCTTCTATTCTACATTTGCATTATAAATTTGGTTTTACCTGCATGGAGTTTAGGTATTTTAAGTAGTCGACCAATTGCCGTTGGGAAGGCATAAAAAATGCAGTAAACAACATCGACATTTCTTTTACTCAGGCTAATTTCTAAAGGCCTGAAGCACATTTGTCTCAATATGCGATCCAAATATTAGCTACTAATAGTGGTTCTGGGTTCTATCGCTGTAGGTGATAGAATGAGTGGACTGTATGTGTAATGTAAATCAAACAATGGATAGAAAATGGAAAATACTTATAATGAAGATAGATACGTTTACAAACGGTTGTAGGCAAAAAGTGACAATAAAAATATATGACAATTCTAAAAGAAAATACATTTAAAATTTCAAAGAGTTTGCAACAGGCACAAACTAGCCAAAATAAGGAGAAACCGAAATCTAAGAGTTTGATATGACTTTTTGAAGAGGCGGCATTTTCTACTTTCCAAACAACACTTTTGTTTCATGGAAAAGTCGCTGTACTGGATCCAAATCACAACCATCGCTAGCATTGCGCTCTTTATTATTATTTAGACATGGTTACATGGAATCTGATATCTTCTTTAGCTTACCGAATAGGCTTCAGTTTTAGGTGATGATCCAAATAAAACCTGTTGGGATTTCTTCGTCATCATTCACTAAGCCATGACTGAGGATGAGTGACTGTGGCTTATGCTTCGTCAATAGACGGTCAATTTGATCTGACTGGGCAGTTATATCGTTATATTGTTAAAGAGAGGTAACGAACTAAATAAATAAATAGCTCTAGATGTTAATCAGGTGGATAGAGCAATATGTTTTTATGTCTTCGGCCGACAGTAAATAATTGTTGTTTTTGCCTACGTAAATAAGTAAAAAAGATAACTCTAAAATTGTACATTAGTATTACATCGAATCATATGTCAAATAGGTGTAGTATGAAATAGAATAGTTGAAGAGAAAACTCCATACCTACCGAGAGGTATTTCAGTAATCGGGACGGACTATCACGTCGGCAGCCGATTAGATAAACTCGTGGAGCGGTAAATATTTAACTAGTAAACAATGATTTGTCACATGTGGATCAGGCAACAAGTCAACATATTATAGTACTGGAAATTTATAGGAATCCACGTATGTCATAACATGGTATTTCAATATAGAAATGTATCTACACCTCATCGCTTCTGGTCATCCAACAATGCCATTAATACTCAATAGGTATACTTCTATCTATCTATACTTCGTCTTACCTTAAAAGTATATTTAAAGAAATCAATATTAGCTGACTTTTATTGTTAAGGTTACATAAATTATATAACCAGTTAAATTTTACTACCGATTTTGATTATACATATTTCTATACCACCATTATTCTAAATAAAACAAGTATTAAGTTTCAATTTTATAAATGACGATACTGAAATAAAATACATAAAAGAAAAATAGAACATAATTGATAATTTCCGTATTATTTGAAATCGGTTAAACCCATTGAAAACTGTTGTTGTTATTAACAACATGTTATAATAATAATGTACTTAATATTATTACAAATCGAAATCGAATATTAAGGGTACTATAGAAAAATTAATTAAAGTAAAAATTCTTTGTTCATCAAAACATACTTTAATTTTTGTAACTATAATTAGGAAGTTATTAACTGCAATGACACCTTTATTCTTACTCTAATTTATACATAAACTCTATTAATTTTTCTATGGTATGAGTTTTTGATTTGTAAACATATGAATTACATAATAATGTTAACATTTTTTTTATAATAACTATCATAGAATGAGTGGACTGTAGACTTTCAAACAATGGATAGAAAATGGAAAATACTTATAATGAAGATAGTCGTTTACAAACGGTTGTAGCTTCTATATATCATCCATTTCAGTCAGCCGCGAAGCAATTTCTTTGTAAGCTATTTGATTTGGAAGGTGAGATATGGCAGTGAAATCAGTCCGTACTGATTTCACTGACATATCTCACCTTCCATGGACTAAGACGTTACAACTCCGTAGTTATAACGCCTTAGTCCTCGGAATTTAAAGAAATCTTATGAGGGTACTTTTATTGTCATATTATATAACCAGTTAAATTTTACTACCGATTTTGATTATGACGTAAATGACGATGCCCGTAGCACTGTATTGTTATAACAACATGTTATGTGAATGTACTTAATATTATTACAAATCGAAATCGAATATTAAGCCACTTACCATCAAAACAAGTAGCATGTTATTTTTTTACTATTCAACCTACATAAAAAAAAATGTTAACATTTTTTTTATTACATATTTCCATCAAAAATATTATAGAAAATATGCAGTCTAGCCAGTACCGCTATAAAAGCTTATGTGTAATAAATCTGACTAATCTGTAATAAATTAAAAATCTTCATATCGTTATTTTATTTTTATCTATAATATTGTACTGTCCTATATACATACTGAGAATCTCCTATATACTTTTTTATTTCAGAGAATAAAACTAGAATAATTATTAATTAACTAATATATTCGATATCCAAAAAAATAATTTTATATACCATACCTACCATTTTAATTTTTTCTTAAGAAAACTAATATTATTCAAAAAGTATAGATAAAAATTTTAATAGTTATAACTGCCGATATCGGGTACGGGGTTCGAATTTTAGCCGTGCTTTATACATACCAACGAGTTTACGGCGATTATGTTCCTATTGTAATGTCCGCGACTTTCTCGTCATGGCATTTGTTATTCCTTCCATAGTTTTACTTCTTTTTACCCTTATATTGAAGGATAGTTACCAAATCTGTCTATTTTTCCCACGTTCCTACATTAATATGTATAATAAAAGTCATAAACAATGTTTTTATATTTAATATTTCTCAGAAAAAACAATTTGTTACTTACTCGTATGTTGCCGAAATCAGTATAAATACTTTGTTTTAATTTATGTCTGTGTTTTATACACGTCAATATCAGTAACAGACCTTATTTGATTTGCATGTGACTTGCGGTACGGTATGTATTACAACAAGATTTGCACAACAGTTAGTGTCCGCTTCACTGCAATTGCTTCAAAAACAAAAAAGGTACGTTGTTAACTCATTGTTATTTCGGATGGCTACCACCTACCAGACACTTGAAGTCACGGGCGCAGCTTGTATGCCAAAGATATAATGTGTAGGAAAATCAGGAGGAATCCTCATGAAACACATCCATTTTCATCATTCATCCAAATATTAAAAAGGACAAAGGATTTTTTTCGTCTCATGGTAAATTTATTCCGTGAGCACACAGTTTGCAAGAAGTTTTATAAATTATTTTCAAATTACCCTTCACTTCTATGAAATAGTGGAATTTAGATACTATTACAGGAATTCCACTTGATACACGCTTTAAAACAATATTTGTATAATAATCGTGTTTACTGTATGAGGATCTAGTAATATAAAAAAAGATTATGACAATAAAGGGGAGTAGGCACCATTGCTAGCACTGTATATTGTTAGATCGGCCCCCACAGGGTCTTCCATGAAACTGTCATCGCCACGACTTGCTAACTGATCTGACTTCATGCTCATTCTATAATATTCTTTACTTATCATCCTTTAAAAAAATAGTCCATCTATTACTTCTTAATAATAGGGATATATGTATGTCAGCTATTTTATTGTTAACTTCGTTCTGGGAGTAATAAAGGAAACAAAGAGATGCATTCAATCAATTTAATATTTTTATAATAATTTATAGTTATGTAACACGTTTTTACAGCCTTAATAATTTCTAAAGAGTTTCTCTTCACAGTTTACTTGAATACTAATTATGGAATGTTGTTATAAATTGAACAAATTCTCTATCTATTAACACACAGGTAATATATAACCGCAGGAATTACATGTAGTCTGTTACTTTCATGTAATATGTCATGTAAATATTTAGTAGCGGTAACTGTCCACACAAATCATTTATTATATATACACAATATATGTACATTTATAGTTACTCAACACTACGTAAATATGTACTTACGTAATATATTTAATATAATATTTTATTTGGAATATATATAAATAATCTCCTACACAAGTATATTCGACTATGATAATACTGAATCTTAACACTAAATATTGCATTCTGATAAAATCTGGTCATTTTTATAATAGTATACTTAACTAACTGTCTCAAAGGCTTTTTACATTAATTTACATACAAAATATCCTTATGGATTATATACCTTTGGATTATATTCGATCATAAATCATTTTCAAACAAGTTAACTGCCATTTCAAGATACTATATAATGCTAAATATTAATTATAATACAAATTATTAGGAACTCCAGATACCTTAAACTTTCAAATATAAGTAGGTGTCAGACATAGGTAGTCGCTACCTATTTCTATTCTGCTATTCGAGTTATTCTGGTATTGATATCATATCAATTTTAAACTAAAAATTTGAAACTAAATGTATCATTTCTACGTAGGTAAGTTATTTATTAGGTAATGTTCAACATTCGCGATAAGCTTGCAAAGGCCGTTGACTCTAGCTTGTCTTTCGTTTGATAAATATAAAGATTATTGCTTATAGGTACGACGTTTGCAAACGAATGGCAAAGGATCGACTAGTATATCACTGTAATCATTGTAAGAATTAACATCACCACCAACAACCGCCGGACTGCGGGCCGTGACCTGAGACGGGAGGCTGATGGTGCATGGGCTGGTATGGGGGTAAAGACATGCCCAGCGGTGGCAGACCATCAGGCTTACCGATACACGGCCTGCCGTCCTTCACCAAAACGGGTACAGCAACTCGTCGAGGTGAATTCAAACTGCCTACATTTAAATCATGCGCACCTTTTTCCTGAACAGCACGTTTGGTCTTATACCTGTGGTTTTGGAACCATATCTTAACTTGCGTTGGTGTCAAGCGTATCAGGCTAGCCAGGTGTTCCCGTTCTGGCGCTGACAAGTACCTCTGTTGTCGGAATCGCCTTTCTAATTCGTAAGTCTGAGCTTTTGAAAACAGAACACGTCTTTTGCGTTTTTTATGTGCTAGATTTGGATCGCCGATATTGTTGGATAGCTGATCTTGGTCATTTTCATCGTCATGTTCTATGTCGTTATCGTTGTCGTGGTCGTGTTCGTGATCATTCCGGGGGTCGGTAACGGGTGGAGATGCAGCAGATGCTCCAACGTAGGACAACTCAGATGCACGAGAGGTACTGTCTGGGCTAGCTTGTTGTCCAATTATACCTTTAACAAAAGAATATTACATTATAAAAACCGTATTATCTACTAAACGTAACAATTACATGAAGATTCATTATCATTTGCTTATCATATTATTAATAAACATACAATTATATATAATTATATTAATAAGTTGTGTAAAATACAGATTCGATAACTGCAACAATAACAAATCACTATACAAAACGGTTTGTTCTCCAGTGGTATTATACACTCGCATCAAAATCTCCACTTAATCTCTGAGGGTTGCGCTCTATTTAACTTCAACTAAGAACCGTTTGCATCCAGCCAAACAAATAATAGAACGTGAAAAAGTCGGTGCAAATATTACATTGTTCACCACCCCTTATACATTAAGAGTTGTTTCACACGGGCCTAGTAATGCGGGCGGGCGGGCGGCGAGCTGGGCGTGGAGGGCGAGCGAGGGGTGCAGCGGGGGAGGTCATGAAGCAGGGGACTAGGGGACGAGGAGACGGGGCGCCACGCCTACCCCCTGGCAGCTGGCAGCTACTTTTGTTCAACGATCGTCCTGTTTACCTCGATAAGCGCACCCAGGAAATTTAATAAAAGTATTACCTCTCGTTATTACGCTTTTATCTTTTCTATCTAACAAGGACATGCCGATTCATTTTATTGCAACATGTAAGTTTGCTATAAGTAGATAATATATTATTAATATTATAAACGTAATAAATAAGTTTTATATACATGTTAGGTATTCGACTTCAAAGTCACGTACTTAAATAATTGCTGCTTATTTCCTTAAACTGCGGTGTGTGCCAGACACATAATAAAAAAAATCAATAAACATTCTCTGAAAAATCAGTTAGCAAAGAAAACTATCTAAAATGACTCATTTTAAGTGCTTACAACCGATAAAGAAAATACCTTATAATCAAAACCCTAAATATGTGATATCATCGAAAATAGTACCTAACAGTAACGAAAATTCATATTAATTATTTAAAAATTAAATAATGTCTATTTACATCAGTATATATCAGTTCATCGTACTATTTTATTAAATAGGTAAAAAAAAAGATTTTTTTACCAAAACTGCATGTAAATCATAAGATCATACTTTAGGTACTAATGCAGTTCATTGGTACTTTTATTACTATCAAAATATACCTCAGTGGCTCAGAGCTGACCTCAGAGCTGTTTATGAATGCCAATTTACGCAATATTTTTTATATGAAAACATTAATGACATTCAGTACAAGAAATTCCAAAATATCTAAATCTTTACATCTACTACTACGCCCTGTCTAACTTTATGCTGATAATTTGATTGCACTCTATATATCTAATTGTCATCGAATTACTCGTCGTATCTACTATGAAATTCGCTAACAAGCGCAACCGTGTAATTGATAGTCGGCAGCTGTCTCAGAGATGGCTGTTCAGGGGCATGAGCGCTATTGGTGACACATTCGCTTCACTCGCTCCCCTCACATCAAACAACTGTTGTTTGGTGACGACCCTAATTTGGCCGAGCAGGGCGTGAACTAGCCGCAGTACCGTGTGAGATTGCCTTTTAAATAATTACATCTCTAAACGTGGGATATACCCATCAACTTTCAGTAGCTTATACTACTGTAAACTGTTTCTAAGGTATCTTGAAGCTTCTTATCTAAATTTACGTGTCAGAGTAAAAAGCGAAAGATAAATAATACTTAGTGTGTAAGTATTTTATTTACATAGTATAAAACAAAGACGCCGCCGATGTCTGTTCGTTTAGTTTAAATTACGCAACGGACTTTAATATAGTTTTCAGCAATAGATAGAGTGATTCAAGACCTCCTCTTATCCTCTCCTCTCCTCCTTAATATATATATAATATGTGTATGTTATAGTATAGATCAAGACAAGAAATTCAAAGATTTGTAAAATGCATACGCATGCATAATAATTTTGGTGAATTCTCTTCAGACATTTTTAAGAGTCTTACTTACTTAAAAATGTGGGTTACCTATAACCTACATTTTTAAGTAATCATTAGGATAAATAGGCCTCGCTTTCGAAGCTAATGAAATCACAGATACATACTAAATTTTTTTTATGAATATGACAGTAAATAATTGGAAACTAAAAAAAAACAAGAATGAGTCTACTTTTAGGACTAATCTTATTACTAACCCAATCTAGTTTTGAATCCCTCCTTAGTAATAAAAAAACGAGTAAACTAAATACCTAAATGAATAACAAAGTTATTAATACAAAAATTGCAAGTTGTCTATTACCTATTCAGTAATACTAATATATAGGTTACTCTAATATCGATCGACTGTAATTATTTTCATGATATTTGTTTTGATTCTGATATTATAATAAAATAATACTCGTAATTAATTTGAACTTATCTACATTATTTTCATATTAATGATGTCTTTATATATAAAAATAAACGCATAAGTGGAGCTATGACAGCTTACGTCTTTCGAAACGATAACATACATATGGGCAGGGCCGTCGCGCGTTAAATTTATATCCCTGGCGCTCTTCATGTATAAAGTGATGATTACCACTTACAATCATGTGGGCCGTCAGATTCTTTGCCATTACAATTCCATAAAAAAATTAGTGGATCTCTCATTTTCTGAAAATCGTTTAAATTAATAACGTTGTAACGATATGATTACCTCTATAAGGGGACTTAGTTGATTAACACGATAATAAATCAGTAAATCTAAATTGTATAAGCAATCGAATGCATAAGTATAGTGGGTGCCAAAATTACTCGATAAGCGATAAAAATAATTAGTGACAACAGATTAACGGGCGAAGGCACTCAACTGGAGGAGCATTTCAAAAAATAATCTCAGGCTCTCGAGCGCACTACCGAATACCTATTATTTCGAGTGGGTCATCGCACTTATTTGTATATGATAATTCGACTCTTACTTCATGAGTGCCAATTTTGGAGATATTACATGAGTAGTTACGTCTACAAAATTGATGTTATAAATATGTTTAGTGGCTGATAACATTGTAAAGTCCTTTAGACAAATCGAGAAAATCAATCATTGATTTATGTACTATGTTTTGATGTATACCTATTTCCTGTATCAGAAATAGAGGATGTGTGGTGTGACTATCAAACACGACTGGTAATTTTTTTACACTGTATGGTAACTGTAACGGCTCGGTGGACAATTTATCTATGAATATGACGAAAACACGTAAAGTTGAACATTATTTTCTAATGTAGCATGTAAGTACTGAGTGTACATGTAAGCTAATAAATGTATGTCTTGAAAAATTGAGGGGTATAAAATGTGTTACAATATAAATTGTGTATTTTTTTATTACATTGCTATTTGCTAAATTGACTAAAGTTGCTCCCAAAAACCTAACTTGCTTTGTGGAAATAATTAAGTGCACAGTGCCTACAGGTATCTATTTATGGGGCATTTACAAATAGTTGCGGCGTGTTGCCGGTCACAATCACATGTAAGTAAAGAATTTCGATGTCATATGTCATGTTTATCTGTTATAATAATAAGATATAAATGTCATTTTTCAAATATCGTATATTCGGCTAACGCAGGTATGATGATAACCTTATCAACTGATAAAACTTGTCGCGAATATAAACTGAGTAATACGCGTTTATATATCGTTGTCAGGTTACCGGATCGGCACAGAGGTCACTTATGTATTATTTTTATTATCACTTATTTTTTTCATTTTTTACAGATATTTACCCTCTCAATTTTTACTAGGTTACTCATTATATTGCCTCTATGCCTATTGCCTTGCCTCTATCAGCGACATCAGTAAAATGACATTTAGGTAATTAATATATTATATAATAATATAATTACATAGTCCCATGTAGACCCAAACTAAGCGGAGTACTAGACAACTAGTATAGAAAACATCCACAGCAATACAATTAAAAACAGATAGGCCATTTATAAAAAAATCTATTGATATTTATATTTTTGTAATAATAATATGCAATCTAAGAATTGTTTATTGTAAATGTCGAAGCCGCAACCTTCGGGAGAAGAGGCAGTGTGTTAAAACACTACACAGACAAAATACTTTTATCGTATTAATTTATCTTTTAATGTAGTCGGCGATTGTCACGTACGGCGGGATCGATAAGTGAGCTATTTATCTCGATTATTCTTAAACTAAGTCTATAGTCCTAGACGAGATATACCCGTAAAACGATGTAAAATATAAAATAAAACTATATCTATCCACCTGTAGATGTAGCATATATACCATCTACTATATATGATACTCTATCCACCTCGCTGAATAAAATATTTCTACAAAGAATTTAAAGAATATTTTAGGAAAGTGTGTTACTTATTAATTAATTAATAAATAACAGCTATGTGCAAAAGATTCTGGATATGTACATTACAGCATGTTCTAGGTATCACAGTAATACAAATATTGATTGATTGATTGGATTGTACATTGAATAATAAATTTCAATCATGCCTATAATTTTTAAATAAAAGAAATACAGTGTAAAGGCTAGGTTATCTATATTTTTAGTTACTTTCTAACAGATGTTCTTTCTATTCTTTTCTCATGTTTATTTTTATTAATAATAAATATATTTTTTTAAATATAGTAGGTACTTTTTTAAATAATGTCTTAAATAGTCTTTAAAGTTTTATATATAACTAGTATTTTTTATAATCTATTATAGAGGAGATCAACTATAAAATGTAAATAAAACATTAACTTAAATAATGAAGTTTCAAGACTAATATATTATAATAAAACATTTTCACAAACATTCCTAATTGTCCAAATGTATATAATAATGTAGGTATATACTATCAAATATATTTGAGTTTACGGTTAGTTTCAACAAAAGTAAGATATTTACTCAAAATTACACTACATATTTGTTGAGTCTGTTGAAATCAAACTGCAAATAAGTATACCTATGAATAATTTGCATGTTCTTATGACCGGTAATAAATTTTGGAACAATTCTTTGTCTACTGTTTAGTTGATCTTAAATCCAAATATTGAATTGTTATTGCCTTGAAAAACAACTGCAACCCATTGTGTAGTGGAGTCAGTGCGAATATTTTGTTCTCCTGATATGAGTGGTGGTGTCGGTTTACAGGTTGAATAATGTGCGGTGTCGTGTTACATATAAACAGAAGGGGCAGACGTAAACATTAGGACGGGCTACCGATAAAAAACTGGGACTCTCGAGTGGTTAAAATGTCACTACATGTGTATAGTGTAATTATATTTAAGTTTTTAGTCGTAAAGGGGAAAAGCCATATACAACATTTATGAAATTGAACCACTTTTACTATGAATATAATGAACATCTGAAAATAATAATTTAACCTCAATTTCTACAATATCTATAGAAGGTCTTATGAAAGTGTCAAAAGATTTTGTTAGAAAATAACTTTACATACTTTCATAAGACCACAAATATTGTAGAATAGAACAAAAATATTTTTAACTTTATATTGTGTATACTTGTCTTATTTAGTAAAGATGTTGATTTATGAATATCATTGACTTCCTGTATAAAACTGTAATACCGTTACCTCTCAGGGTAATCAATTATTATTTATAACTCAATAATTTAGGTATAATTGAACATATTAAAAAGAACGATGTGATTACAGCAAATCTAAATTCTATCAAACCGAAAACACTTTGCTTAAATATCGTTCAAGTCATTCAAGGATTTTTTCATGGATTTTTCCGTACATAGGTAGGTAATATATATATATACATTTTCTATTTTCCAAATTGAAGAAGTATGTAAATGCGATATTTCACCACTCCTACATAAATTTATAAACCATATTTACATCATTGTTGTGGTTTTTCCCATGTTGGACCCCTTTTAACTTTATCAAGATTAGAGTCGGTTGTGTTCTAGAATTAATAGGACTTTCCCATTTATTACTAATCTTACGATATGGTTTTTCGTACCACGACAATACTAACTTTAGAGGCGTCGTACTACATAGTTAGTATCTTTGCCGCGTGTCACAAAATCTAAAGTATGTAAGTAAAAATATTTACCATTTGGTTCATGTTGGTCCAAAGACAACCAAGGTTGGTGATGCCGCAGCAGGTCGTGGGAGTAGTGTGGCTGGGGTGGCGCGTACGGTGGCAGGTCTAAAGAACACGGCCCCAGACCTTGAGTTTGCGATTGTTCCAAACCCTTCCCTTCATTGAGGCCTAATATGTCGGAGATTTGGAAGCCATGACGCTGACCCGGTAACTTCATGCTGTCCAGAAGCCTGTGATAAAAAATATAATTAGTAAAATTATTAATTGGCTATTTGTTCCAAAATAGAATGGTTTAGATTATTTAATGTTTTGGCTCGTAATAAGTTATATTATTTCAAATGTCTTAGCATTAGTATGGTAGTTAATAATTATCATATTTGGTTGAATTAAATGTATCTCATATTTAACACATTTAACTCATACCTCGTTAAAAAGATAAACAGAAAAAACTGACTAGCTATGCAGAAAAACAAATATATAAGATGATACGAAATTAATCCTATCAATTGCCAAAAGAATTAACAAAATTAATTCATTCCGTTTGAGAAAACATACTACCTACATAACTTTATTTTTAATTTAGGTATCCATTGAAACCCTATAGTCGCACAAAAAAAAGTGTGAAAAAGATTTTTACACAAACTATGAGAATGTACACACATTCTTTACTTAATGCTATATTATATACTTATTTTATTTTTCTGATAGTGAATGAAATATTACATAAGTTTCATTTGAACTATATATTACCACTCTATTCATATTATAAAAAAATAAATAAAGAAACTTTTCAACGGGTAAGACTAACAAAACACATCTGAGAGCGTGTAATTGAAAGAAAACATACGACATTCCATCAATATAACAATTATTGGCCAAAGAGGACCTCTCAAGAAAACGTGACCCTAATAAAGGAACAGTCGTAAGGACTAAATGCGTAGGATCCAATGGCTGTCTATTAATATATCAGAATGTTATTACACATAGCCGTGAAATGTTGTTGCGATCCCGTACGTGACTTTATGAAAGGGCGGTACTCGTAAGAGGCTTTAGCAGGTTGTAAACAGGACTATTAACAAGCTCTCACTAAAAGAGGTGCAAAAACTGTCACATCGGGTGTCACGATTCTTTGAACTTTGGATTAGTATTGTAGATTCGAGTGAAGTGCCTCAATGACACGTACACCGGAGCTAACAATAATTCACTATTTTCTACCACAATATCGTCAACGTTAATCATGACCAAATGACTGCCGATATCAATAGCAAAAATAATAGTCAAAATCAATCAAAGGTTAGCGAAAAATATCATCTAAAGTATCCATAAAATATACAATAGAAAATCTCATTGAATTCGTTTAAAAGCCTAACAACCTAAAAACTTATTTTTTACTAATTTGTATATAAGTACAAAATGAATACTTATCTACACAACATAATAACAAATAGACAATAATTTAAAAAAGTAACACAATAAAATTTGATACAAACTCAAAGAAACCTCAAACTAATATCAATTATGCACAAATCACCAAATACTTTCACAGATTCTGACGCTCACCCTGGAAAAGCTGATCTGAAAGCCGCCGGGTAAAGCGCCGGCAGAAATGCTGGGCCCCAAGGTGGCAGCAGGATAGGACTCCAGGCCAGCAGCGACGCTGGCGGAGGCAGCAGAGGCGGCGGCGAGCGCGCGCTTTCGCCCTCCTCGCACTTCATCTCCCGACCGGGAGAACTTGCTTTCGGAATAATCTTGATGGCTGGTGAAACACTCGCGTGAACACGTGCTGCGTCTCTCGACGCCGCGTCTGCACTAAACAACCCTCGAGTGGCCCTCGGGGTGAAGAACACCCCGCGCCGCCCTCGTGCCTCGACAGCCTACTCAGCTCGGGACTAGCCTCGAGGGTGCTCCACTGACCCCATCCAATCGGAAGCCACCGTCGACTGGGCGGGTCTCTCGCCGACCAATGAGAGCCGCACGAAGACTTCCCAACAAAAAAAACTGGAGTATACACTTTGAATAGAGGAGCTTTCGACGTAGCGCGTTATATTATGTCGCTTTTTGTAATGAGTGCGAGCGTTAAGCCCATTGTTGAGCTTGGTTCGTTATGGACGCCGCTCTAAATGTTCGAATAACGTTTTTAATTTAGAGTGTTTGTACTAAGTCCATGTAAACCCATGTCTATGAAATGATTCAACATTTTTTCTGATAGAAATAGAAGGGAGAAAAAACGCTCAAATATTTTATAAACTCCACATACACATGGATTAGACGTACGGGTACTTTTTATATCGTTAGTTGTTGGAAAATATAAAAAACGCACACCTCATATAAATGTGGCATATATTTAAACTATATTCTATGTAAGTGCTTATTGTTTTTACTTCCTAAGTTATACGTACCTAATCTAAGTACCTACTTCAATTTTGTAATAATATTTTGAATCAGGAAAATTAATGTAACTGTAAATATCAGACGTAGTTCTGATATTTCTTTTCATGGATGATAATCGAATGTTGCACCAGTCTGCGGTAAATGTATATACGCGACGGGGTATCAGCGGAGGATGATAGGATGATGATGTAGTTACCTGACTGCCCATCACCCTGTTAGCCCATTTATTATATTTATTAAAGCTCTATTGTCCATATATTACAATTATAACTAATATAATAAACAGATTTCCGAACGAGTGGTAGATAAAAAACAAATTGTTATGACTATCCAGATGTGCTTAAATTAAGTTTATTTGAATAAATGATTTTCTATTCTATTCTATTCTAATATTTTAAGTTAGGATTAATTTATTTTCTTTATATATATGGTCCCATGTGGGTAAAAGCCTCCTCCAACTTGTTCCAACTGTTAGCCCATAGTTACAAGTAATTAGCCACAACAGTTTCCAGAGGGACCGCGTGGAGGTCGAATTGATATGGTACATTATTAATAGAGCCACTATTACCCATTATTAACAATCTTGCCACATTCTTTATATTGTATGTAGGTATTGAAATAGATACACTGTTATAATCAGTAATTATAATGATTTATTTATTTATTCTTTAGCAACACACAAGTTTCTTGCTTATTCTTCTTGTGATGAATCTGCATTCCGAATAAGCGGTAGAATAAAAAAACACTTGACTATTCAAAAGTGCTTATATTAAGTTTATTTGAATAAAGATTATTTCTATTTCTATTTCTATTTCTTATCAATAACTTCTAAATGATATAACGATTAATTATGTAAGAATTCTTAATAATAGAACTAAGCCTTAGGGGGGAAGAGGATTGTCAGTTACATGGAATAATAACCACATTGCTAGCAATAAAAGTACCAACTACGAGTATATCAGGTTGACTTCCACGCGGTTACTACAAGAAAGCATCGTAGTAAATTATTAGCCAAGATGATTACTAACTGACTTGACTTCATAATCATTTTATCATCCTACTGGTACCCCGCCAGCGTATGCCAAGCAGAGGCATTATTCGATTAAAATCCATAAAAAAATATAATTAAACCATATGCTTTAGGTACTCCACTTTGGTGGTAAGTGTAATAAACATCTATTTTGTATATCGGATATCATGATGATGAAATAAGCCAGTGCACATGTGCAAGAACTTAGCACATTGTTGGCAATAAGACAATAGAAAAGGTCGTCAAGTTCTACGAACAGGTAGAAAGCCCACAACTATGACAGTTTATGACTTGCACGTGTGGACACTGTATTGTATTCATTTATGAATACGTTTATTGTCACAACAATAAGACTAAGCTTCGCTTAAATACGGATTGGGTATTACATTTCAAAACACTGGACGCCGAAATTCAGCTAGGTATTTTATTCGTATTAATAGGTATAACTAAACGAATAATCATTTTTGAGTGGGCCCGATCTGCTAGGAACTAAACATAAAATAACTTTATTGAATTTGGTATATGTATCTAAATGTTAATTGTGAATTTTTTTTCATTAGTAGTTTATTATCATTTGTGTATTTGAAGAAGGGTCGAACTTTCGGTAAGCGCTGTGCTAAACCGCTGGACCACCGGGGTTTTTTTATTTTATATGTTGTTGTTGTGCTGTGATACACAACAATGGTTGCGGGTGATTTCTTTTATAATTTTTACATTTTCATATCCGTATTGTCTAATGATATGTTCATTATAATTAACATACTTGTGGTAGATTAAACAATATAGTCGCTCGTTAGATATTTACATTAGAGCATTACATTACATTATATTAGAGCAACACACAAGTTTCTTGCTTATTCTTCTTATGATGAATCTTCATTCCGAATAAGCGGTAGAATAAAAAAACTTGACTATACAAAAGTGCTTATATTAAGTTTATTTGAATAAAGATTATTTCTATTTCTATTTCTTTACATTACTAAATATTTAAGTGTATGGAAGATTTTCCACTCGTTAAAAAATGCTATGCTCATTTGAGTACTGAATAAAAAATACAATATCTAGCCTACCTACGCATACTCGTGTAATGCCGGTGTATAAATTTGACTATGTAACTAAATTTCATATTATAAACTGCCGTTATGTAAATATTAAATATAATGTATTATTTTTATTTGTAATAGGCACGATTTACTATTATTTAAATTTGGATTTGATTATCCGATGCGCACATGTAAGTAGGTATCTGTAGGTACATCAAGTTCCTATAAAAGGGCAGTAATAACAAAGGCCGATTATTTATATTGGAACGATCCCCTAAGTGGCGTGCAAGACTCAAATGTTTAATTGACTTATTGTGAATTAGTTTTTAAAATATCCATCGCTGCAATCGGTGCCTGCTCATCGGTTTTACAAAGCAGTAAGTATACGCAGAATTATAACATAAAATATATTTAGTTCATCTAACTAAAAAAATATATTTTAATTTGACAACTATAAACGCATATAGCGAGAGTTAATTACAAATCTTTTCTATCAATTAAAATTTATTGTTTTTTATATCTACCAGTTCACGTCAAGCAAGGTCATTAGTCAGTTTTTTAAAAATCAGAAATAATTTCTAAAATCGCTAATCTCCGAGTTCTGGATTATACCACAGATAACATAATTTATACTAAATTTACATAAGCGTCTAGTAAACATGATAGTTCATTTACTAATAATAATTTAATATGAAAAGTATTATGACAGTAGATAAAATGATGATGAGATGTTCATATCATAATGATAGAGAACTTTGTGTTGAAAACGGTTTTGTAAATCCTACATAACATATTATAGGATAGGAATAATCTACCCAGACAGAAACATATAGATATGAATATATCTATATGTTTCTTCTACCTCTGTAATTTATTTTGCAGGCCTAATATTTTAATAAATCATGCGTTCTTATATTTACTGTCAAATTCCCCAACTTAACCGCAACCTTACTAAGCATATTAAGCGCATTAACAGAACAGATAAGTAAGTAGACTTCCTTCTATATCCTATAGGTTTGTGTACAATTGTGTGGTTACATTAGGTAGGTATTATTTCCACATTATGTTCCTTACAGGGTTACGTAGTGGCAAACAAGTGGCATAAACCTTCAATTATATAGTATAACATTATAGTACACAGTATAATATTATAGTTAACTACTGGTTAACACAAATTTATGTGCTGATTTACCGTGTACTTGAGAGAGGTAAGCTGCGAGGGCCAGATTTGTGAGGGGCGGTCGGCAGGTGCGAAGGCCCTCCGTTATACGGGTCACTGCATATCGCGCTCCACACAAAACTTAATGCATACATCACCTACAGGCCATAGAGCCCATAATCAATACTATTATGATACCCCTGTTAATCTTCTCTACCAGGTGATTAGTTACAAGGTAGTTATTTTGTCAGCGTAAATCAGTAAGTGAAATGACCATTTTGCTTTGTCGTAGGTTGAGTAAAAAAAATTGATTGTTTTGATTCCAATAGATATATACATAAATAATAAATTGTTTTATCGTTAAAATTAATTATTAAATTTAGTAAGTATATAACCAAAAATTGAAATAATGACTTTAATTTTATATATATAGGTATATGTATGTAAAATCCTATGGCGGTAGTTATTGAAGTAGCCAAAGTTAGTTGTATAATTTCGATATTTGTTGTTCTTATAATAGTGTATATAGAGTACTTTTTTTGTAAATACATAGTTACAAATACTTTAGAGAGTGGAATTACTTTTGTCACTTGTTAGTTTTTGTAAGACATTTAGTTCTAGTTTTTAATCCATTCTGGCCACAATCAGACACCTGGCATGAAATCTCTACACCTGGTGTCACGGTACCCGGCCTTGGTACCCGAAACGTTATCAAGAATCACTACTTCATACTCTTGATAAGTGGACAAACGGTTCAACAATATTGTCAGTAACCACTCTATAATGGTATATTTTATGAATAACATCAAAGTATCCATGACTAATCTGATGAGTCACTGATATAGAAGTTGCACTGGCTACTATTGCCCTACCCTCTACAAGAAGTAGGTATAATATGTATATTACTCGCTAATAGAAAATTTTTAACATTTTTATAATAAATGAGACAGTTTTTTACTACTCACTACTTTTTAGTGCTAGCATATTTACTGGTATAATTATTTGCATTTATTTACTGAAAATGGACAACTAACAAAATATTAAATGTCGTATTAGATATTCCTGTGTAGATTTTTTGAATTAGTATATTAAGAATATAAAATACGCTTATATTTTATACATGACTTTGGTAATTATCTAAACCATGCATAAAAAAAATACATTTGACTTTCATAGACATTGTAAAATGTTATAATGGACTAGGAAGACCGTTTAATTTACGAAATAAAGTATTATTAGAGGTTAAATTCCAAAAGGTATTCGCTTCGTATTTGCGATGCTTAATGATAAAATAATAGGGGTTGATGGGGACACGATAGGAAAGTAATTTGTGTAAAAGTAGAATATTACAATGAGGGACTCGCGCCATTCGTACCATGCGCCGACGGTCGCGAGAAAAAACTACCCTATGACCAAACTTACCGCTGTTACCTCTTTGCGCAATACGGATTATTGTCGTAACGACTCAATATAACTACTATAACTTTGCTAATATTTAATATACAAATGAAGTCCCCAAGTTGTAGTTACAACGCTAAGTTCAAGGATACACAGCACGACCCTCCTTGTACAAAGAAATCTTGCACTCAGCCACTCACTAATAGCTTATTCGTGACGTAATATTGTGTAACGAAAAAATAAATGTGCAAAGCAAATACGTTGTCAGCACCTTTATGCTACTTAAAACAAATTTATGAAAGAGGAAACTTCGTTCCTAAAGTTTAAATGTATTTGCGAGCGAAAAGTCGATGGGTTTCACGAATATTTCGTTATAGCAATCTGGTTAGTCGAACTGAGCCTAAATGGATGAAAGCACGCCAGCCCGCGAAGAGGGTTTCCAAACCAATTAAGGGCTCCACGAAGGCATGGGATAGAACGCAGCTGGTGGATTATGAGCTTGATGGTACTTACTTCCCCGATTCACCGCTGTCGGGACTATAAGTGTGCGGCACGCAACCATCGCCGCACTACCTACGGGTGTTACATGCACACGTAAATTTACGTAGATTGATTTAGCATAAAAAAACACTAATACCAGAGTAAAAATATAGAATTATTGAAACCTTAAAGTAAACTACTAAATAATGTAAAAACTGCACTCAAACCATTTGCCATATTTAGGTAAAATGCAACCGGGTACCGCTTAAATTTATGACAAATATCAAAGAACATTCATTACTTGGATACCTGCCGAGATACACACATTTAAAAAATAAAAATCGAGGCTTTGCACTTCTCACTGTATATCTACATAAATACACTTTGAAATGTGTTACGGTAAAATCATGTTATGTAATGATAAAAATGTGATAATAAATAATAACTACTACACTTAGAGAACAATTTATAAAATCATATACATATTCTGAATATATGATAGAAAGACTAGGTATTATAAAAATATTCATATCTATAAGCAACAGGCAACCTGGTAAATAAAAATGAAGGTTACCTATTTTATATAAAAGCATATACGTGTACCTGTATTTTATTAAATTAATTTTGTCAAATATTTCCGGCAGGTTCAAAATGGAACACGCCTACTTCAACTGCATATGCTAACAGGCCACCAGTAGAAGATACGAGAATTAGAGTAAGATGAGGATCAGTTAGCCCATCGTGACGTATACGCCTGGAATTAACCACGATGGTTTCCAGGGAGGCCCAAGGGAAGGTCAATCTAACACATTGCTGGCAATCATCAAGTATTACTAACAAAACCCCACTCATATTTCTTTGATACTACTAAAGTTACCTTAGTAGGATCCATACGACTAAAAAGATTACAATATATTTATATCACATAACCAAAGCGGCGCGATACCATTAATTAGGTAAACAATAGGTATATTCTTGGTAAACAACTGAAGCACTGCACTGCTACTGCTGCAATTGTTTACCATTGAAGCAAGCAGCTACAACTGCTGCAATTGTTTACCAAGTTGTGGTTAAATTATTTATAAAAGCACTTAGCAACTTACTTAGGTGAACATGTAGAGACCATATCTAGCCTGCTTACAACATTGTCAGTATCGCGTGCATACGATGCACTTTGCAGCCCCGACATAACGGATAGCAATTAGTGCATTGAACAATTTACTACTTTACTTGAGCAATTAGTTTATATACTTATATAGACAATAAAATAAAACTGCTAAAATTCAACTGAGATGAATGTTTTTAAATATATGTAATTATTACCTAGTTACGAATAGGTATGTAGGTAAATACAGTACTTATTACATTTAGGATTATTACATACAAGATAGATTTAAGACTTGACTAAAATCACCGTACCTCGGTTTCGGTGGTTTAGCGATTTAGCACACGGTTTTACTTCCGAAGGTAGGGGCTTCGATTCCCGGGACGGTGCAAACATTTGTGTTCATGAGTATGACTGTTTGTATTGATTTAGGTTTTTTTATATATTATGTATGTATTTACAAAAAAAAATGTATTCTATCTGTTGTCTAGTACCCATAACACTAGCTCTGTTTAGCTTGGGACCAGATGGCGGTGTGTAAAATGTCCTGAGTTACTATTATTATTATTATCTATAGTACGTGTAGGTACAGATTTTAATAATATTATTGAGTAAGATAATTATACACATTTCAATATTAGTGTTTTGGTTAGGTGGCAACATTTAGACTGATTAGTGTTCAATAAATCGGTATTGAAATATATCTGTGCAAAGTGATAGACCAACATACATCTTAGCCAATTCTCAAATTGGGACAAATGTTATAATTATAAGAAAAACAGGATAATGAAAATTGAAAATCGCATTTGTCACAACCACAGTACCTACCTGTGACCGTAGTCTCACGGAATAACTACACCAAGCCGAAACAAAAAGTTTGCCTGCTTTAAAACTGAGATTTCTTGTAACGAAAATAATACAAGTGACATAACGGGAAATAACATTAGTAAGTCAATAACTAAACAAACAAGTTCGTTACTCACGCGTACGAGTTATATCTGTAGTCTTCCTCCATCTGCGGCTGTCGGGTCTGATAGTTGGATTCGGCTCCATAGTCGGTGGGGACGATAGACCAACTGTTGTCGTATCCATAATAGTCCCCATAACCCATTTCGCCTTCACCCATCATTTTCATTATACACTTATTAGTCCGTGCCACTTAAAGATCTCTACGATAATTTTCTCACAACATAAATATAATTCTACTGATAATCTACTATAGTTAAGTATACAATATCAACAATAGCCTATCCTTAATAAAATCTTAATCTTTTATTGTCTAAATCTCCGTCGATAAACATTGAATAATGCTTAATTATTTATAGTAGTAATGATTTGTGGTTATGTGAAGAACCGCGATTGCACTGAGCCCGATCGTATCGACTGATCGATGGCTCATAAGTTGTTATCAATAAAATTGTGTTGTTATCATATCTCGCAGCTTTCCCCCGCGATATGGCATTTTTATAAACGAAGCGACGAGTCACACCACAACGCCAATATTGTAGATATCCAACCGATAGCTTTATCTGTGTCAGATGTAATAATATGTAGGTAAAACGTGCCATTGTCACTGGTGTTATGAAATCCAGGAATGACAGGTGATACGAGTGAACAGAATTTTTTTATTGGCTAACATTGCCGACTTAATATCGCATTATTATAACACCAACAACTATCTAGTATTGCTGTTGTTGGGGGGGATTGTTAGTAACGAAGACTAGTAATAATGCTTTAATAATATTCTGTATTGATACAAAATCTCCATTTTCAAATTAAACTGTAAGATAGATCTACACAAACTTTTATTACTGCCGCTAATTGACTTTCGACAAATGCTGTTTACGACACGTTACATATACATAGCCTAAATACAAAATGATAAGTTAACCTATTTCTGTTGTAGGGATGGAAATTACGACGACAGAAGTCGAAGTTCAATCTACTAACGGTACCTTGAGAATTAAGTTGTATCCGTCAAGCACAAGTTAATCTTTCCTTTCTATAAGGCCCTCCGCAGATTTCTAGTACCCTCTGAATTTCACATTTATATCCGGCAAAGCCCAAAAGGCCAAGTAAGGCCAACTGCATTTGAATAATCCGAATAAATCGTAGTTTTAAGAAATGTACCCGTTTTTTTAAGTGGTGAGTCTAAGACTACAGTCATATGTTGTTTAAAATATATTAATTACAGATATTAGCTATAAAAAACACCATAAGAGTAAATATTTCGTAGGAAATTGTCTTTTCTGTTATGTGCTCTATTTCAAGAATTAGAACGATAAGAGCCATCCTGTTAGTTGCTTGAACACAAACATTTAAGTTTTTACAAAAATGCTATTCAATTAGTACCTCTGGTGGGACTCGAACCCACAATCCTCGGCTTAGGAGGCCGATGCCTTATCCATTGGGCCACAGAGGCAAGCGGCGGACCGGCGTTAGCGACAACTCGCGTTCTACCGACGCCGACACGGTGTCGGCTGTGTTGCGTCATAGCGCGTCATAGCAGACGCTTACGGGTGCGTCCACACGATCAACAGATAATAAAATTATCGAGTATTCATTAATTAACACATAACCGCAAACAGGTAACAAAACTTATAACCTGTAGTAGCCAGAGCCATAAAACTCTAAATACATCAACATCTAATATAAACTAGTTACCTGCTGTATATACTATTTTAATTTGTAATATTTGGAAGTAAATTAATATTTCATGTATTTATATTTTTGCATATGTGCGCTAATTTTATTCACATGTGACTGGCACAATTACAACACAGTAGTAGGAACCTACAGGACTTGCGGGATTTTATCCATATATAGGAGGCTATATACTTAGCAATACAAACCTAAACAGATTCAATTGAAAAGAAATATCGTACAATATAAAAAAACAATCTTTCTGAGAAATAATTTGATTGGGAGAAGAGTCGTAGTACAAAAATAAAAGCTAAATATGGTGCGTTTACCCTAAATAACTAAATGAATTAGGATCAAACTTGGCACTCTGACGTGACATAGTTTATAATTAAAGTAGTTATATACAATTATACATACAAAGGCGAACTCTAGCATAAAACCATATCGCTCACTCCGCTCTACCGCTTACCGTCGCGGCATGCGACATAGCACTGCTACGTGTGTTAGTAGCCTTACAGTAGTTCTAGTAATATTGTTACTTTAATTAATAACTTTTTTGTTATTATTATGCATTTTTTGCTTTAAGCTCGTGTACGGTTGTTGCTTGTAGGGACTGGTCTGCTCTGTTAAACTAGGATTGATTTAGTTTATTATTCAAGTAGCTATTACGTTTATTTACTTGTGTCAATCTTGCAGCTTGCCAATTAGTATTCACACAAAATATGTAATGCAGAATAATGTTTCTTTAAAAAAGCAACACACAAGATTCTTTCATGTAGTTCTTGTGCTTTCCGATTGAGAGATTTCTCTACCTCTATATATGACTATTCAAATTAGTTTTTTTATAAGTTTATTTAAATAAATTTATTTCCATAGCAAATAGAAATAAATTTATTTAAATTTTGGTACTTGGTAAGAAGAATTAAATAAGGTTTAGAAAAAAAATATTTTTGTTGACATGTTGGAACATTCAACAATAATATTTTTTCCTAAAAATAATATGGAATGCAATATATATCATTGTCTTAACAGAAGTTACATGTATCTCCATGTATTAGAACTCTACCACCCGTATGTAATCGAAACGTATATCTTATATCTCAAAAATCATCGATTTCCTTTAATAGTTAGTCAACTTGTTTAAAACTACCAATAGTAAATAGGCATGACAAAAGACTAGAATATATTAAAATTCCCACTGGAATAAAACTAGTTGCCATTACTACACCATTATTAACAATCCCTCTCTTGCAGATTATTACCTACACTATTTACTCCACATTGAATTACAATAAACTGTAATAAATATAGCGAAGTGAAAGCATGTATAAAATTAGCCATGTAGCCGTGAAGACAAATGCTTTATTTCATTTCATACACAGCATTCAAATGAAATTTACAAAGATAATACTGCAAATCCTCGTTTATTTTTAAATGAAATTATAAATTTGGTAAACATGCCTAGTCTATACTTGATTAATCATAAACACAATACAGTAAATATATCTAACCATGCGTTTGAGTTTTTATCTGTGACCACAGGTTGTCGAATAGGTTGTAGGTACCTATTTATAATACAAATTTCAAAACAAGTTTTTATCCGGGTTTAACAGTTCATTGTATGGCTATACACCTATATAGGTGTATAGCCATACAATGAACTACGTGGTAGTTCATTGTACCAAAAAAGAAAATACATGAATAAAAACAGCAAGTAACAATTATTTGGTGTTTTAATTCGTGTATTTTTCCGCTATTCTAATAATTAGGTAAATATTTTGTATAACAACATTCTAAAGATATCAAAATCTATTACTATTTGTTTATAAAGTTCTAATTATTTGTATTTGCTATGTGAATAAAAACCTCAATCATTAATATTACGATATTTCTCGATATGCCATTATTATCTCTGAATTTTGCACGAAATTATTTCTTTATGTATCATAAATAGTACAGTTAAGATATTTAACGAGTATCATCCCATAGAGTTTTCGTAATTCCAATTAAGAGACACAATCTTCAGGCTGGACAGGATCAGAAATCTTCAAATTCAAAAATTATTTATTCATGGAGGACGTTTTAGCTGCTCAGGCACGTAATTTCTTTTTAATTTTTTAGTTCAGTATACAGATTCAATTAGGAAGAACTGACAAGTAACTCAATTGAATTTTCTATTACATTTTTTTAATTTACAATGTTTATTTACATAGGTGTTAATGCCTAACATTAAAAATTATTTTATAATGTACCTATGGCTTGTTGGCTGTATATAGATAATACTTCCTTCAATGCAAGTAAGTAACAATTGCAATCTACCAAGTGCGCTACGGCAGTAGTGCAACAATAACTAAAATCCCAGTTACTAAGAGTTGATAATAATAAAATATGGTGAAATAACAAAAAAAAGAGAAATATTCGGAGTACGGAAACTTTTTGAAGGGACGGATTGTCAAGAAGTGAAAAATAAATTAAACAACAGAACTGTAAGGTTAAATTCAAATTTAGAATATATTTTTAGTAAGTCAGTTACAACACTAAGACAGGCACATAATTGGGAAATCTATACCCATAGATAAGTCATCATGTTGGCTAAACTGATCGCTACCGTGTTTAATTTTTTTTGTCCTTGTCCATTTTTACGGAAGTAATAATAACAAGTACCTAATAGCTATGTTATATTTTTTTATCAAAAAATATTATTTTCAATGTGTAAAGACCTTTTGAGAGCATCAATCGACAAGAAAATTTATTTTCAGACACGACGTCGTATCTATATTTATCACTGGCGTCTATTGACTAAAACTAATAAGTTCAGTTGTAAATGTAACATTAGATAAAAGATTGCTGATAACAGTAAAATAGGACACAGACATATATTTCATTAAATAAATACATAGGTGTCGTAAGCAGATATGAAAGCTGAGGTTATTTGAAAACTGTTGAAGACTTTTAAATGATGTGATCATTTTGAAAATATTGAAATTTGATTTGTATTCTTTTGTCTCGATGTCACATAAAAATTTTAATATTTACTTTATGTGAATATTATGTATAGTATCATTCAGTACATTAGACTTTAATGAGGAAATATTTCCAAAAACTGTATATGTATATTTTTGTTGACAACTCCATCTAGTGACAATTTATATACATATTTCAGAAAACGTTAATTACTTTTGAACATAGTTAGATTACTGTTTGTGAAGTAGAAGCACCTTGCTTTTTATCGAGAGACGGACTCAGAAAGTTAATTCATATATTATTTTTTATTTATAGAGGCCTCTTTATCTCTACTAACACTATCGGTAACTTAGTGCTTTTATTCTAATAACAACTTTTTATTGGTCCACTGTTTTGGTTTCATTGTTCATTTCTATAATAAACTTTTTTCTATTTCATTCATTTTGTCCTTACTTTTCTTTATTTTATCGTTAATATTATACTATTAATAATTAAAAATGTAAACTTTTAACTTTCACTGGGGGGTGAGGGGGAAAGAATGTTAATTATGATTAAGAGCACCATTCCGATATCCTTACCATGTCAGGTCGACCTTTACGGGGTTCTGGAAGCCGTAGTGTTAACTGCATTCGTCACAAAGGGGTAACAGACATGATTTCATGCTCATCCTATCATTATCCAGTGCCCCGTTTGCGTAAAACGTTAGCACACACGAGCACACCATTCCATAAATAGCTGTTTAAAAAAATCTGTTACTATGAGAAATACACGCTTATCTTGTGGATTAACGTAACATTAAATGTATAAAAAAAGAATTAATATATAGTCTTTATGTAACTCTGTAATTTGTGATTAAACTACAGTCTATCCTATAGACAGTTGTAGTCGAACATACAAAAAGAAATCATATTGCAGATAGAAGCAATAGACGGATGAAGCACTTTTTTTAATAGTTGATAATGGTATGTTCCACCCGCCTGCGCTATCACCATGGTTTCCAGGGGGAACCGTGAGGAGGTCAACCTGACATGGTACATTGCTAGGAATGGAGTCATCAGTCCACATTACTAACAATTCACTTCCCCCCAATGAAGCACTATACTAAGGCACAGAGATGGTATTAACTGCTTACTTAACAAATTATCACTAAAAGCTAATGAATTTGTATAAAGTAGAGAGTGGTATAATGTGAAATTAAACAAATATTACTTCATAAAAACTTGCTATATATTTATACATTGGTTAACCATTTACAACATAATGAAATATGAGCCGGTATTTAAGCATACTCGTATTTATAATAGAATATCACACTGAATACATTTTTACAATATCATCTAGCTGTACACGAATAAGTATCTTATTCTAATTATATAATCATGACTTTTATCATTTATTTCATTGTACAAGTGAATACATACAATATAATTAATGAATCTTAAAGGTAGTCATTTATGATGCATCCAAACTGGCTATTATTAACTAGCTATATTATTATTATTATTATAGTATAATATAATTTAAGATTAAACTAATTGAAAAAAACATTGTAAATTTGGAATAAATGGGTATGTTAATATATTTTCTTTGTAGAATAAAAATATTACTATTAGTCACTAATAAAATCACAGTACAACAAAAATAAATGCTCATGAAACTAAGACCAAGGTAAGTAACTACTTTCCTTGTTAAGAAATAAATATTAGTAATAAGTTTTTTTATGTAACTGAAATAGCCAACAAGCTGACAACCCCCTTGGTGGTAAGCTGTAACCGTTGCCTGATGGGCTTAATACAGAATTAGTGAAAACAATATTACGGTAAAAGCCAGTGACTAAATATTATAAATACATCAATATTCCTAGACATATTACACAGTGTCATGTAGAAAAATAAGCAGGTCTGTACGATGTGTAGGTACTAAACATACTGACTTACTTGTAAATAAACACATAATAAACTTTGATAACACACAGACAACAAAGAAACAGACATACTTATGAATAAAAATTACATCAGCATTTTGCAGGGCATCAGTACATTGAGGCAATGTATGTATTAAACCGCAGAAGATTATTACCGCTAAGGTCTTGATTACATCTAAAATGAAGCATATTTTTCCAAGAAACAGACTCAAAATATGAATATACATTTTATAAAAATGATACCACGCAGTGACATATTTTTTCTCTTCAAAATATGATCATTAGAATCATATATAATGACTAATGAGGTGTATCTTAACATGCATAATAAAAATCCAGTTGAATTGAGCACCTCCTTTTCGGACTCGGTAGACGAATTTTCCAAGCAAATTAAATCTTTTTCCATATTTTGCAAACTATTTCAATAATACGTCATACAATTTTTTATAACTCTACCTAGGGGTGTCTATTATTATTGACAATTTGTAACTTTTAACCTAGACCTGAATCAAAATGCTAAGATAACAGTAGAAATATTGCTAGTTTTAACTATGAGACAGTTATGTTAACAACACATGTAACGTATATACGCGATTGTGTCCAAATTGGTGCTAACATCTGTGGAGTGTGTGTAGTGATTGCAAATCTGAATCATATACATGTGCAAAAATATAAAAGGTTCTTTAATGCGTTTACTACATAATAGTATATAGGTATTAAACTATACTTATATATAATAGCTGTTAATTCAATTTTTGTCTTATTATTAGAATGTAATAAATATTAATCCATTTTAACTTATGATTAAAACTAACATTAACATTATCATTCCTATATAACTTTGGACAACTGTAAGATTATATATATCCATACTGTAAATTTCTATCGCTCGTTTAGTTTAGCGTTATAACAATTCGTAGCGCGACTAGGATCTAAGTCACATACAAGATAGCATGTAAAATATTTCAACATTAATAAAAGTTGCCTACAAATTTTCTAATATATACGACTAATTGTACGTTTCTAAATATAGTGGCAAATTCTACTTTTCAAGTTTACATGAATAATGTACGATGTCACCGTTTGGATATCGCACGAACGCGCTCTGGTTACCGAAGCGCTTCTTGCAAACTGGACACACGTTGTAGTCGTTGATGATCACACTCTTCGATTCGTGAAATTGTTTCAGTTCTTGCACCTGCAACAATGTTTGTTATTACTTATGTTAAATTATTTTAAATAATTTGAAAATTATTAAATTAAGTAATGATTGATGATAAAGTTCATATTATAAAAATTTATTATCCCATAAATATTACTTAAAAAATGTTATTTACAAATAACGAACAATGACAACGTAGAGTAGACATTAAGACAGAAAAACATCAAATATTAATTTTATGCATCATAAATGTTTTTTCAAAACAACTAAACATTCACTACTTCTTATAATTTATTTTCATAATAAAATACTCTCTCTGTATTTTGTTCATTTATATTCTTGTTTGCTCTATTATGAAATACAGATTCTTCTTATGCATATAATATATTTACAAAATAAAGGAAAAATAAAAATAATAAGAACATTTATTTAAAAAAAGTAACCAACCTGCATATGTTCAGCATAGAGAAGTCCTTTTAAAACTTGAGTGCGTCTCTTGTGAGTCAGCTGACCATCCAATGCACACTCAAGGAAATTCTTCAATCTTGTGAGAGGCACATCATCAGGCAATACGGATAACGCCTAAAAACAAAATACGACGGTCATCTCCCTCGTACATACCCATGTGTAAATGAATCAAGATCGGTTAAAAAGTAAATTTATTTTTTATCAGTTTAATAAAAAAAAACCTGTAATCTTAACAAAATTAGTATGTACTAGCTACTCGCCCCGGCTTCGCACGGGTGTACATGTATTACATATATATAAACCTTCTATAAACCTTCCATTTGAATCATTCTATATATTACAAGAAACCGCTTCAAAATCCGTTGCGTAGTTTTAAAGATTTAAGCATACATATGGACAGACAGCAACAGCGCCTTTGTTTCATACTATGTAATGATAACGAAGCAGTAAGGTAAAGTAAACCATTGCTATAAAAAAATATCAAGATTTATTATAAGATTTAATTTGTAAATATATCATGTGATATAAGAACAAAAGAATAGTATCCAAATATCCTCATTTTTGAAATAGCAAACAAACTGGCAGCCTATCTGAAAAAATAGCAACTATCGTCCTTTAAGGACAACTTTCTTAGTAAGGAAAGAAAAATGAACACTGTATGAAGACAACAGTGTTCGTTTCTTGAAAAGACTAAACAAATATGTGTATACATTTACACAAACCTTTAATGGCGATATTTTATCACCGTACTTTTCCAGTATACTTAAAGCCGTCTCCAAATCCGGCACTGAAGTTTTTGGATTCCTGGGTACTTTGTCCAGGGGACCGCTGAGGGCGTTACTCTGCTCGGGATTTACTAGGATCTTCATTAACATCACATACACATCTTGGTTTTTACAGTTAGAATTTTCAGTAATATTCTCACAGTATCTCACTGCTCTCTCGACATCACCTGAATCAAATCAAACCAATATATCTTTATTTATGTTTTTTTTTATTACAGTCAAATCTATTGCCAGTTCTGACACAATGGACCTAGTATATAAAAGTATGTATTTACTAAACCAACATTACGTATTTCGCGAGTCATTGACATGGTATAAACAGTATTTGTGAATTCTATGATGATAATTTAAATACTTGGTGATCTAAATTTAAGTCGGGTATGAAAACATTAATTATAATCTTAATAACCAAAATAGCAATATAGTATTTGGAAAATTGTGATCAGGTAAAAAAATAAGAGGTGCTACTTCTTTAGCTGCTGTGTGATGCTTACCAAGTATCTGCACATATATTGCTAGCGCCTGCTCGTGTCTTCCAAGTTTACCGTAAATAATAGCTCTCTCCTCAAAAAGACTATCATTAGGAAAATGAAGTATTACTCGCTCCGGCGTGTAATGCACTGATTTCTCTAAGAATGTTAACAGTTTTGTTTTGGTATGCTGGAGCTCTTCTTCTGTTATTGTTCCTTTTTTGTTATTTAATTTTTCTCTATACATTCTAATTAGCGCGTCATGAAATAATGAGTTTGTATCGTTCCACGTATGAATCACATGCTCCAAATACGGGACTACTAATGCATCGTGTTCCCTCAATAAAAAATCTAAAACCTTTGCACGGGGCAAATTTTCAACTTCAACTTTATCTTCGGTAAATATCTTTAATCCTTCTTCTGGGTGCTCTTTTAGTATCCAATCGGAGAATTTAAATATCAAATTAATGTGTTCAGCGCCTGAAGTAAAATCCGATTATTACAGTTACTTAGCTTGAAATAAAAATAATAGTAGCGAAAATCAATATAGTAAAACTAGATTTTCTGTACAATTTCTATTAACCAATATATGAACCTTGAAATTGCGCAAACTAAACCCAAAGCAAAAACTAAACTCAAGGCAAAGATGCAGAGATAGTAAAAGTATTAAACTACTAGTATATTAAAACATGTAATATATCAAACCTAAATTCTGCATATAATTTTTAGTTCTAGAATAGCCCTTTAGACTAGAGTCCGGTTGTTTAGCCTGTTCTCGCAACAACTGCAGCGCCTTCGTGTGTTGCCCCTTCGTTTGGTACAGTATGATAAGTTCGCTGAACTTGCTATGTTGTAATAAAGTTTTTTCTGCTTCTTCTAAACGGCAATTATTAAGTCGTAATAATGATGCAACAAAAGCGTCGTTTGTCTGAAATGTAAATTATTACAAAGAAAAATAACATTCAGCACCATGCGTCACTATTTTTGCTATATGGTGACTACAAACTGTAGAGCTCTATGATAACTAACAATAACAAGTAGTATAGACTACAGTATACTAGATTGTCCATAATACTATAAAGCAAGTAACGAATATCGTAGCTTATGTAACATTTAGTGTAAAACATTTGTACACTATTCTTACCTGCAAATAACACTTCAATAGTGTCGTATCGATCAACTCCAGTTGTTGTGTCACATTTCTCTGACTGCCTGTCCCTTGTTGGCTACCAGAGGCCTGAGCGGTATTTTTGCCAATGTTAGCTCTCAGCGCTAACAAATATTCTATTAAAGCTTTCAATGCATTTTCCAAGTCCTTTCCTTTTAATTTCTTATTTTTAGATAATTCCGCACCTGGTCTGCTGTCTAAATCTGGGAATAATTCTATAACTTCCGCTGGATCGATGTTGAGTTTCAAAAATTCTTTCATGGACTGTGAATAATCTTTGGTATCAAATAGCTCAAGAGCAAACAATTTCTGTATCGATCGTATAGACTGTTCTTTTTCTTCTTGGGAACATTCTGATAGTTTCTGAAACAAAAGTGAGATCGTAGTAGAAGATTCAGTAATTTAGTTATTATTTTAAAATTTTCAATAAAAGGTAAACGAACTTTTGATTGTGTAAATTACTGTACATGAAAGAAAACATGTGTTCATAAAAATTATAATAAGCTAAAATTCTTACGAGTGTAAGAATAATAAGTATACTTTATCATTATGTTATAATTGAAGTTCTATATATAATTTACTTCAACCTTCTTTAATTTAACGTAAAAAGTGTAAAAGAGCTGACTCCGGCGTAAGAGTACACTAAATCTTGTATAAAAAAAATCTCAAAGGATTCTTTTTACATTTACAATACATTCGATTCCTAGATCAGGCATTTCTTTATACCTGTTAATGCATAATTCTAAAAATAATTCATTTTGTTAAATTACAATACTCCTTTTACACCAATGTCTTCTTACATCGTTGAAAAGTCGACAGTAGTAGTTGACCTAGTACAAACCGGACTTAGACCGAAAGGTCCGTGACCGTGACTGATAGTGCGAATCCAGCCCGTAACAAAAACAAAAGGAGTTAATTTATATTTCTGACTGTATTTCCGATGATAGAAACACCGATAACAATATATACTCATTCCACCTAATTAAACTATATCAAAAATATGATACACAATTCTAATATAATTTGTCCAAAATCTGACGTCGGCAACAACTAATTTAATCAAAAGAAAACTGAATACTACTTACACTAATTAACAAATTTAATGTTCCCTTTCGATTATTTATTTTCTTCAGCTTATACATTTTCGTTTATACACACAATGTCACCATATAAAACAATATCTAGAAATGTCACCAAGACCAATATTCACATCTCACACCTTGGAATACCATATTACATGTAATATATCTGTTTGTTCTCCTCTAGCCAAAAGTTGTATGGAAGAGATCGCTAAAGTGATAAGAGAGCATTTTGTACCTACATGCACTACATTTTTTTTACAGTACTTAGTACATACAGTTTTTTTGTATTTTTGCAATATAGAGGAATAAATAAATAAAAACTAATTTAGGAATTTTGAAATTTAGAATAACTTTTGAAATAATCTTCATTCGTGTAGGTCTAATACAGACAATTATGATAAGTCAAATGGACTTACATTTAATATTGTTACAATGTTCGCTTCTCGTTGTTTTATTTTCCCTTTAAACATATTGACGTTTAGAGGAAAAATGAAATCATTGAATCCCAAAAACATTGAACCGTGTTTTAATTATAATTATAACTATAATTTAAACAAACTTATTAATTACGTGATTTATTTAACATACAACGATAGGGACAAATTGGTCATTTAGATTAGAGTTTTTTTTTTATATAGTACATGATAATGGAATGCTGCACCCGTCTACGATAAAGGTATGCCCCTGAGCAGCGGTGAATATTGGAGATATTATATTATATTGGATATATAGAATATTGGAATGATATAAGTATGTAACAATAAGTAACCTGTAAGTTACTAATTGAATATAGAAAGATCGCATATGTCATGTATCGAGCCAATAAAGTTAAGTTTAAGTTTTTGTTATGATTGACGTCCACTCTCCAATAATTGTGGTAAAATAAAGAGGAGAGTCAGAAACTATTTATATTGATAAAAATAAAAAAATTGCCCATATCAAATCATTATTTTTTTTAAACTTAGTTATTTTCTATACTGTGTTCTTTCAATATTGCCAAATTGGGATAAATATATAATTTAGGTTCTAAATTTAAATCTACAATCTATTAACTGAACTTGACGATGGAAAATTAATGAGTTTCAACAGACAGTTGAATGGGTCAAATATTTACAAATTGACACATTAAAAAAAAAGTCAATCCTTCGTCTGTGTACCACAAAGGTTCTTTTCTGTTTAAATTATTCTAGGCCAGTGTAGCAATAATTTTCTCTGAGAGCAGATTCAAATTTCATCTGTACATATAATATGTAGGAGCTTTAGATTATTATAGGAACATATCAATAAGTGTATTAAAGAAATATTTCTAATTGTAAACTAAGATAAGAGATAATATATATTGGCTCCAAAATCCTTTACTTAACACAACCACTGTATAGCTATATGATCAAATACAACACTTCAACAAGTTTATGTATACATCACAATTATTTTAGTGGAACTGGCCAGATATCACATGTACTCATTAAGTACAATAAGTTATGACTAATGAACAAGGATAAAGCAATATTATAAATGTAACAACTAAACTGAAATTATATAAATAGAGATTGATTAAACTTTAGCTGTTTAGTTGTTAACATAACATTACACGAAAAATTTTTTTTAATTAGCAGTAAGGAACTTACTTTACAGTATTAAATAATTGGACCGTTGAAAAAAACTTGTTTAACTCCAGTTATAGATTATTTCATAGCCACGAATTTAATATCACGAGAATAGAGATCAAATATAGTTTCCTACTGAAAGTAAATATTTAGGAATATACAGGACTTTTTAGCCGTTCGGAGAAAACTACAGAATAATCATACGTTATATAAAATAAATTGAACGTAGCCTATATATATATACTAGTATTAAAAGCAATACGAAGGATTTGAAATTTCTCTGAAAAAAAAAAATACAATATAGGCTGTAGTGTATTGTTTTTTTGGGGTTCTTGTCATGAGTAGGACTACATGCTTAAAGTTTAAGCATTTACTTTACACTTTAAGCCTTAAAGTACAAAGTATCCTATTGTTTATTGTCAAAAAATATTATAATTTAAAATTAATATATTGTTTAACAAAAGTCATATATTCTAGACTTTAGCGTTACACCAAATAATAATGTAAATATTATGCCATAGCATGTTTTATAAATATCTTATATTATATATACATAGTTCATAAAAATCAAGGTTTCTCCCTGGTCTGTAATGGACTTTTATCCTATATATAAATTAATAATTAATTACACATATGACTTACTGTTAAGTCAATAGCGATCTGGAACTGTTTGTCTTTTAGAAGTTGTTGTCTTTGCTTTGTGATATCCACTGAACTGAGACACCACACTTGACCAACTGAAGACACGAATGTTAAACCTCGCTTACATCTAAAATTAGTAAAAAATCTTAATTAAAAATCAATAATATATATACAAACCCGTCATGGTATTTAGCATTTTATTAAAATGCTAAATACCATGACGAGTAAAGGAGTAATTACTCTGTAAATACTCGAAATCCAAGCAGTCCATTTGAAACTGGATATTGGAAATCGGATGGTTTATTCCTAGTAAAACCACCACAACTGGATTGCTGACCCTACTCTATCCACATTCAATCAGAATATAAACTTCCACGGATTCCCCGCCAGCGTATATCGTTAATGCAGGCAAGTACACCATACCTGCCTGTATTAACCATCATCTCATCTTCATCATTTGGTGTGTGTAATAAATGGGATATGGAAGAAACAGATGATGAAATTAAATAACTAATATATAATACAACAACAACACATCTAATAAATGTAATAAACACTGATATTGTTACTGCTATTATATAATAATATATATAAGTAGTTTCGAATACAAAAACCTAATGTTCAAAAGTAACTAAAAATCCTTTAATAGTAATTTTTTTGATTGACTGAAGAAATATGTTATATACATACCTATACATCAGTCTTGCTTTATTCAATTCAGGAATTGTTTGTATAAATAATGAAGGTTCAACAGTCTGTACAACAACTTGATCTTGTAATAAACCTAACACAAACGGCTCATCCCAAACTGAAAGGGAAGATTTATCTGTGTTTTATAATTACATTAACTGACCTATTATAGCATGGTGGTTCTTTACTAACAAATTTTATGTTAAACATTAAATTAATAGATTTGAATTATTGTTGTTTTGATAAATGTAAAGTTATATTATATAGTAATCTGTCACTTGCACTATTAATTATACACTTTTAATGCAATGATCTTGATGACTACTAAATAAAAGCCTCACTAAATTAACAATGTATAAAATAAAATGTATTTAAGTGTACTTATATTAGGACAATTATTTTTAATAATATTACAAATATTTTTTTCTGGTCATACCAACACTAATAGGGGGTTCTGACCATCTAATAGTTTTCTTGATTTCTAAATCTTGTGTTTCTTCTACAAGCACTGAGGTCTGATCACGCCCTAGTAAAAATGATGTATCTGAATATCTAGCTATAGTAGGTTCCAGGGCTTTAGAACTTCCAGTTGGGAATAGTTCTTTTGGTTTCCCTGAAGAGAGCTGAAATCAATTATTATTATCTTAATTTATAAACAAAGGTATTAAAGTAAAAAAACAGAAGTGTAAAAATAAAATGTCAAGATAATTTCTACTACCAATACTTTGATAGATAAAATAAAATTCTTAGTCTCCACTATAATCTGAAAAGGTTTTGCCATTTGTAACTAGTACCCAATGATTGTCATATTTTCATCATATAGTAATATTAACTAATAAGCTTATACAAAATGAAATAGTTTCTCAAATATAATCTAAATATTTCCTGCCTCTTATTCTGTAAATAGGTTATATTTACAGAATAACAGGAGTTAACAAGTAAACTTTTCTTACATCATAAAATGTGTACTCCGCCTTAAACCCTACACACAAATATTCCTGGCCCCATGCCAAAACTTTAGGCACATCTGGTATGGAGAAATCAAATAAATGTTGTTTAAATTGTCCATTTTTCCCATAATATAACTGTAACTTTCTTCTTACAACTACACAGAGACGAACAACTGAGTTTGATTCTCCTGTCATTGATGTTGTTGACTGTGAAAGTAAACAGATGAAATTAATAACATACACTATATTTACAATTAGGGTTTGTTAATACCTATAAATTTTAAAATATTTAACATTACAAAAGTTAGAAATCTGCATTATAAAAATTTTGTGTAAAATAAATATGAATTTATTGAAAAAATAATAACTACAAAAATTCTATAACAATATATGAATACAATTTCTTTTACTCACTTTATTATCTAAGGCAAAAAGTGAAGCACCCTTGGTTTGTGGAAATGTTTCAATAAGTGGAAAATTGACACCATTGATGTCATATGTGGACAGAACATAGTCTGATAAACAAAGGAGTAAATTCTTTTCTGCAAAATAACAAACAGAATGAATACATTTCTTCATTTGCTACTAGATTGGCCGTTTAGCATTGGGACAAAACCTGCTTGGAACTGAATGACTTTTTAAACACATTGTTACAAAAATATTATTTAGGTAACTAACATTTGTATATTACTGTGATTTGTATATTAACTTGATGCCAATTGTTAACTTCTTTACTTTGTACATGTACATGTATGGCGTATTTTCATTAATAATCATAGCTTTATTATGAATATGTGATGACTAATAACAGTGATATTATCTGTCTATTTGTAGTAAAGTGATATTATATATGAGAAAGAGTGTTTGTTACTTTATAATTTGATAAAGGCTATTATATTATATATATACATACTATTTGTAATGATGTTAAAAGATTTGGAAAAATCACCTGGATAAGAATATCAAGTTTATTAATATGTTCCCCTGATCATATGCAGACAATACATATAATTTTAAGTACTAACAGTACATACAAGTAACATACAAATCAAGTAATGTTAAATACCTGGTATCACATCAATTTGCTGTATTGGCTTCTTACTAAAATTTTTACAGTACCGCAACAATTGTATGCCATATTTGCCAGGGTTCCCATTATTGGTTGATAATGAATACATTAACAAATGCCCCTGCCTAGTTCCCAGCAACAGGTTGCCATCTGGAATTATATTAACGTATATCAGCAATTATCATTGTAATGAATATTAAGTGACCAGTAAAATTGATTCCTCACCATATGCAGCTATAGTTTCTATCTGTACAGTGACAGTAAGCAAAGGAGATATATCGTATGCCTCGTGCATGATAACAAAAAAATGCGTACAACTAAAACCTATAATTCCTACAAAATTTCACAAATAATAATCTATTATTGCACTAGTTACATAGTTTCTTTAAATTCCAGTGAATTTTACTCTACGATTACTATACACATAGTTCACAATTTAAATTAAGTCACAGTAGCATAAAAGGATTTATTAATTATTATTATTTTTAATGTTTTTCTGCAAATTTATTTTTTATAACAATCACTAATACTCAAATAATGGAATCAACATTTTCATAATTTTTGATTTTTCACAGAGTACTTTTGCGTTGATGTCATTGTCGTAAATTTGGCAGCATCTCTTTGACAGCTGAATAAGAACAAGAAATTATTTCGTTGTGGTGATAATTTACTCATAAATTTTATCTGAATTTTGACAGTGTTGCCAAAGTTATTGAGGAAATATCATTATTTTGCAGCACTAAAAAGTATAGGGACGTCTATATTAAAAAAAAATCGACGATGTCGATGTCGACATCAATCTATAGATATTAAAATACTGTCTAATGTAAAAAAATCTTTCTGATGTGATGTCATTTTGAATTAACTTTTCTAGTATCGATGATATCGGTGACTTAATATGAATGTTTCGATTTCGCCATTATCCACGACTACAATTAAACCAAAGACAGGCAGAGATGTTTTCGGTTAAATATCGATGTTTTTCAATTTTATTTAAATTAATAATCAATATATAATTTATTATTTGTAGTAGGACTATGGTACTGCTGTATACATACAATCCATACGCTTAAACGTATCAGTGTACTCATCTACAATTTCTTACTATTCCAATTCCAAAAGAAATATTTACAAATATTTTTGATCATTTGATCATTTTCTTTCTCAACCGATCAATATATCTTTAGCATCTATTAATAGAATAGTTTGATACCATTATCGGAAAGTCGCTCCTATATATATCTCATTGGGACAAATATGGTAACGTTAGAAGGGGCGAATAGTGAACCTCCTTTAAATAAATATATATATATTATAATAAAGATATATTACTGCCTACGTCAATTAGATTTCAAATTATAGGGGATATATAGCTAGAATACAATCAATATACATGTATATATCGATACGAGATATATATACCACCATTCACTAGTGGTCGAGTGAAAGAGTACCAAACATTCATTTCAACATACTTTCAATATATATATATAGGAATATTTCAGGCAAATGTAACTTAAAAAAATACTAAAAGTATGTATAAGTATTTATTTCCTATTGCAATTTATTTAAATGATTTATTATAGACTTGCTGATTGCAAGTAGCTAAGATTAATAGGAGCAGAAAATTTTGACTATTAAATGAAAAGCCATGTTTACTATTCATTTAATATTTACTTTTATAATTAGGTTATTTTCATTCATAACTAACAACGATATGGGTGTTATGATGTATTCAAATTCAGTAAAACAAATATTAAAACAAATACAAATTTCACTCACTATTAAATTTAACATTACAGTAATAGTAATACGAAACTCTTTTTTACTTTAAATAATTTATAAGTCATAACCCCATTTCGAACTATATATTGTTTATTATGGGAAATCCTCATGTAGAAACGTGCACGCAAATCGTGAAAGTGAGAATTCAGTGGGATAGAGACGTTCATAAACATCGCTTCACACATTCAGGTCACTAGTATGTATAATAACTTTTTACATAGAGGGTCTTCAGAAGCAACGTCGATTACAAAATTTATATAAGATAGACTTAATAAAAATATGCATATCTATACTACCGTGTCCCGTACTGAGTCCGCAGCGGCGTACGCAATCAACCTTAGACTGCAAGCAGAACGGATTGACGACTGTGCGTCTACAATTGATCGCCCGCTAACCGCTAATCGATAGTCAATTATCGATAAACGTTACTCAGAGTCATGCCATAAAGATAATAATAATATATTTACACGAATTATAAAGGTGTGTCAGCAAACGAATAGCCTTAACGACGATAACTAAGCTCCACTATGTGATTTCAAATCGGTGCGCCGAGCGCACTTAACATACAATAATTTATACGTAAACAGTACATAGGTACACAATGGTATACACAATAATGTATAACAAAAATGTATTTAGCGTTCGGGGCCTCAGCGTAACGTGTAGGAATATCATTACATAATTTTAATAAACTTTAAAGTAAAATAATAAACTTGTAAAACAGCAGATAATGTTGTTCATATATTACGCCTTTTCATATCAGAATCATTGATTGACATTGATTTGGCATATAATATGAATTGCGGTGTAATTGTTTGTACATACATTTCAAGCAAAAATATGCTATTTTATTTTCTTGAGGGGCACCAAGATCAAATTAGTTGTCCCATGTCAGAACAGATATTACAAACCGATCATGTTTAGTAATTTCATTAAAATATAACTTCATCATGATGATGAGCTACAGTGACTGGTGTAAGCGATGATTTGATTCCCCTCTTTAGCAAAACAGCTTTAGCTGCCTTATGTTTACAAAGTCTCATACTAAAAACGGTGCAGGAGGTAATGGTAATTAAATACCAATAAGGTCATGCGTTTAGGCTACTTCTACACCATGAAAAAAGATCTCGTTAGTCTACAATTAAAGATTACCTTTGCCTAATTTGGAACTGTACGCCAAATTGAAGTGCAAAATGAAATTACTTGAATACTTAAAACTATGACAATGAAATTTATATCATTATTTTAACATTGTTTTCATAAATGACTACTAATAATAGTGTTTTCAATGACAAATTTTATTTTATATAATAGAAATATCATTTATTGAATATAGAATACAATATTATCGAAAAACTATGTCGTTACATTAGGACACTGACAGTGCTATTAAAATACATTACATTTACCCAGCACTGGATAAGACGAGGTACACCGCAATAAAATATTTTATTAACAAAGAAGTTGCCGAGAAAATAAATATCTAATAATGTATATCTAGAAATTTATATTCTCTGAATTGTTTATACAAATAGATAATATTTTGTGATATTGTTAAATATTATAAATTATCTTGAGAGATCAGTTTATACTAGTTATAAAAATTTACAAGTATGCTCTCTATGAATGCAAATAATGCTCTGTTTGCTATTTTCTTATCGTTGAAATAACACTAGGCGTATATTTCATAGTGGTAAGTTCCAACAATAAATACGCTAATGCACTACTGAATATGTCTTCCCTACCGATTACACTGCCCAAGCAAGGTTACGTTCCTCACTACAGTATCATGTGGCTATCTCTCAATAGGTGATTCACGTGAAACAAACATGTGACTACCTCTCTTTGTCTAATGCAACATCGTCTCGAAGAATTACGGGCTACATAGTTAAAAGCAAATATTTCTAAAAATCGTTATATTAGTAAATATTACAAGTGAAAGAAACAAATTTTTCCAGATACGTATCTGTCGTTTACCAAATAAACAATATTAAAAACAGCATTTAAGGTATGTACATAAAAAGACAATTTGAGCTTACAAAAGTACAAAGTAATCACATCGCGACGGTTTAGACTCTATAATGGATTTACCCTTCTTACCGACTACGACAGCTCAAGCTTTATCGACAATTACACTACAGTATCACACGATTACTCGCCGAAACACCTATTATGCATTTAATTTTTCCCGATGGCCAACACGAAAAGGACTATCACTAAACAGCATACGAGTGACTCTCAATCTAAACTCTGAGTCGGAGAGGTCCGAGGTCGGCAGCCGTCCGCGGCGCGAAGCGGGCGGCCCGGCGCGCGTCGCCGCCGTAAATGCAGGCGCGAGGCTCGGGGCGGCGCCGGACGCCGGGCCCGAGCCAGCGACGGGCGCGAGGCTCGGGGCGGCGCCGGACGCCGGGCCCGAGCCAGCGACGGGCGCGAGGCTCGGGGCGGCGCCGGACGCCGGGCCCGAGCCAGCGACGGGCGCGAGGCTCGGGGCGGGGCCGGACGCCGGGCCCGAGCCAGCGACGGGCGCGAGGCTCAGGGCGGGGCCGGACGCCGGGCCCGAACAAGCGTCGGGCGCGAGACTCGGGGCGGGGCCGGACGCCGGGCCCGAACAAGCGTCGGGCGCGAGACTCGGGGCGAGGCTGGACGCCGTGCCCGAGCCAGCGTCGGGCACGAGACTCGGGGCGGGGCCGGATGCCGTGCCCGAGCCAGCGTCGGGCGCGAGACTCGGGGCGGTGCCTGAGCCGGGCCCGTACCGGCGTCGAGCGCCACCGCTGGGGCCGCACCGCGCGCCGGGGCCGGCGCCGAGCCGGTCGCCGCGCCGGTCGCCTACGACGCGCCCGGGGAGCCGCCGCTGGGCCCGCTCGCCGCGTTCTCGCCTGCGGACCACACGCACAGTGAGTCAGCGAACCTTGAACTGGAGACTGGGCGTTTTACAGGTACATGACAATTTATATAATAAAAGCTGACCGACAACAACTTTCATGATTCTTTTTAGTCATCATTAACACAGGTCGATATATTTCATTGTCTCTTTTATGTAGCCAAACAAAATATTTACAAATAGACTAATTGTGAAACTCTCTCTTTCTTTTAAGTTGATTGTCAATGTGCATCAAGACATTTATTATACAGTTGCCAGTAGACCGATAGACTTTCGTGAGCTAGGGCCGACATAGAAAACATCGCCGTTTTCAGACGTTTAATGTTTCCGCCAGAATGGCACTAGATGCTCCAAATGGATATGCTGTGGTCTCGTGTGTGGTGGGAGACGGACCTTGCGCGTCGTGGTCGGGCGGCTGTGCGGCAGATGCGCCGGCGGCCGCAGAGTCATGTTCGGCGGCGGGCGCGACGCGCGGCTTGAGGAAGTCGTTGAGCGAGGGCTGGATGGCGAGCTCGTATTCGGTGAAATTGAAGAGCGGTGGCAGCGAGCGGCCGTTGGGCAGGCGCGCGGCGGGCTCGCGCAGCTCGTCGAAGAAGCTGTGCGCGCACGCCTGCAGCGGCGACAGTCGCGCGCCCGGCGTGTACTCCAGCAGCCGCGACACCAGCGAGATCGCGTCCGGCGGCGTGCATGCGCGGAACACCTGTCAGCACACACCACTAGCTTTATATTCTTATTCTTATATATACGCCCTTATAATATTACTCTTAACACATACACAAAAAATATTAATACGAAGTTAATCCGCGTAATTAAATAATATAAGAAATTGTCTTCGTCATTATTATTATTCTTAACATTTATACCGATTCTTTTAATCGTGTTAATCTGGAGTATTTAATATGTTGTCAATCATAAAAAAATTGTCAAAGATAAAGTAATGCCAATCAGAAATTAATTAAATTATTATGTATAAAACTACTTTAGCTCTGCTTATTTGGTCTGTATGATAGCTTGAGCCAAATGGTGTGCCACAAACCCAACGAAATGTAACCAATACATGATGACATATAATTATGCCTTTATTCACATTCTTAGAAAAAAATGTTCTTGAGTGTTTTTACATAATTACGAAATTATTAAATTATAATGCATATTTGTGACTACGGCGTAATTAATATCTTCGAAGGTATGACAAGACAAGATCTATATCAAGATATATTTCTCTTAACAATTAAAATTAACAAAAATATATATTTTAACAATCTAATACACTGGTTGTTCTGGAAATAAAAAAAAAATGCTTTCAATTGAATTACATATATAGTTAGTGAATATGTTTTATTAGACATGGAGTTGATGGAGAATATATTACATAGGTTAAAACGTTAATAAAGTATGTTCAAGCAAACAAACATTCTGTATAAAGTTTCTAAGGAGTATGATAGTTCCCAGTAGGCCCATGAGTATTTTAAAGTATAATATATAGTGGTTATAGGCTCATATGGCACAAGCGTTTATCTAGATCAGACCGAACCCACCTCTGTGGTTTCTCAAGTTTCTAGATATTTCTACATATTAATTAGCCTACGTAAAAACATATATACACCATATTCCTCATGATTGAATAAAAAACTACTAAAACTGACTTTAGTACTTTCAGTGTTATTTTACTTATATTTACAAATATGTTCAATAAGATTTACACTCCTTTCAGACGAAAATTATAATTAATAATAAACAAACGAAAAAAAAGGATTTAATTTAATAAGTAATTACGATTTTATGGTAATTTTCATTATGTTAATGTTAATAATATACATCTATAATGTTGTTATAATTTTGGTTTTAAAATAATTACTACAATAAAACTGTAATTAGAAAGCGTAAATCTTAACATATTACGTACTTAATTCATAAGTCAGGTGGAGGAGTAACAATAGATAAAAATATGTATTCGGTTGTTAATGATGATAATAAGTAAACCATTACTTTGTGTGGTTTATTATCTAATATTTATTTCGTAATATATGCATTAAGCTAATATTTGAAACAAAATTAGTCTTCAGGCCTATGTTTCAATATTGCGGTTTATATTATTAAAAGTTATAATGCAATGGTTTAGCATAGTGACAAGATGTTAAACGCATGTTTGTTGTTTGCTTAAATCATCACTAAAAATATAAAGATTCACAGACGGACTTTAAAACTGGAAATGTTGATCAAACTAACGAATGAATGCACACTGAACACCAACAAACAATCAATTCTCAGTAAGATACAGCGTAAACCGATTAGTTGTGACTTTCAAGTCATTTATACATGCCAAAGGCCTTAATTATCGATGACGCTAAATGCCTCCATGTAGATAGTTATTATTATACAAATAGATAAAGATTAGAATCACTTCACGTGTTTAATATGTACTAATTAGGTTATACGCAGCATTATGGATAGATACAAATAAACAATGGAGACATTTAGGTTTGCGATGGGGCAATGTCTTACTCGAATGCGCTGGTGGTCAGTGGCACTCTTGGGCATGGTCATACGCTCCAACATGTACTGCAATAACGCGCGTGTTTTACACAAACACAACTCAAACCTCGTGGTGTATGGCTACAATGCGTCGATATACTTTTGTATTAGATACTTAAAGGCACGTATGGGTGACCTCAACTATAGCTAGACATATACTGTAGGTACGCAGAACTTGCTACATGGTTAACAAAACCAATAATTTCGATTAAAAAAACTGAACGAAGATAAAAGTAGAAAGTCACCCATGCGCATTGTAATAAAACCTAATGATTCTTTGAAATTGTCATTTTGAAGATAAATCCCATATTTCTATCGTAATGTACTATTTATATCTCAGTTATTGTATAATTTACTTTCACTTCTCCGGCTTTCGATTACCGTGATATCATATTAAATTATGCAAATGTATTATTTGGAAAATGTCAATTTCATTGATATGACAATCTAACGCAGAGTCTAATTACGTGACTGTGATCTTGAATTATTTATTTACTGTAACACAATGTGACAGTCAACACACGAATGCATAATCGTAAGTAAAGTGATACTATACTTGGACAAAATTTCTAATGTAATTTCTAAGTATCAATAAGTAAAGAAACTATTTAAAAGAGAAACTAATAACTTTTAATTGTAATTTTCTGAATCTGTTTCCTATTATGGTACATACAAATACTGAACTGTATCAGGAAACAAGGTAATAAAATAAAAAAAGCAGCAACAAGCAATTATAGATAATAAAAAATATACATAGATATCAAAATATGTTACACCTACTACCTACTTAAAGCAATAGATTAAATTATAAATAGATACTATGTAGTTAGTTAATGTAATTACAATTTTATTAGATTAATTCAAATGTGTATATAAAATTAGATGGCTTTATAAAATTTGTAATGTTTCTTATATATACATTACATATTGCATTCTGCTATACTTGTCTTAAAGTAATTAATGTTATAACATAAAACAAATTTATTTTCTTATAAATTTAAGTTATTTCGCCCATTAGACATTTTACAACCAAGTGATAGTATATCTCATTTTCTCAAATATAAAATCATTCAGATGAGATACGAAAATGATTCTATAAGATCACTATTCAATGTTCAAAGTACATAATGAATTTTATGACTAACAAAATTGATGACCATAAAAACCACTTACCTTCGCCCAAGGGTGACTTTTGATTTGTGGAAACTTGAATTCTGTGTAGTTCGGATTCATCTCTCGTATTTGTTCTCGTGTTGGCGTGCCTAGAACCTGCAAGTTGATACACAATATTAATACAAGGAATAATTGATAAGGTATTATTATATTTGGCATTTTTTTTAACATCATTCATGTTCATTAATTACATAGACATTTTAATAATGGAGTTTGCAACAAAAAAAAATGTGTCAATCAATAGTTTGTGCTAAAACAACCGATTTGTATCATAATAAAATTATTATAAATATGAAAGCATATCCTTTAAATTTAAATTACCTACAATTACACAAAATAATCTTAATATTCACCTTGATTATCTCCACCAGCTGATCAACACCAGAGTCGCCCGGGAATATTGGCTGACCCAAAAGCAATTCTGCAACTACACAACCCGCACTCCAAACATCTGCAAAATTAGTACAAATAAAATTATCATTTTTTATCTACTACAGTGCAGTACATTCAATAGAATTATTCCTACTACTTGGCTGTATCTTACTAATATTATAAACGCGAAAGTTTGTGAGTATGAATGGATGTTTCTTCCTCTTTCACGCAAAAACTACTTAACGGATTTTGATGAAACTTACAGTAATATAGCTTATACATTACACTAACATATAGGCCATAATATAAAAGATATTATGTAAATTAGAAAAATATAATGATAAGTATCAAGCAAGTGTGATGCAGACGAAGTTCCGCGGGTCAGCTAGTATATTATAAAAATATTGAAGACAATACTTCTAATATCAAATATATATGGACTGGATATAGATATATAGATGGACTTTGAACTGAATCTGATATGGAGCTGAGAAAATTTAAATCTAGAAACTCGAATGCTAATGTTGGCGTACGTTGCATACTGCACGTACGAATTACATATACTTGGAACTAGAAAGCTTGGATAATAACCAATACAAATAATATTACATTAATTCTTTTTTATACTTCTATGGTGGCAAACAAGCAAAGAGCCCATCTGGTTACTCTTAAATTCTGAACAGTTAAAAATAAACTCAGCTTTGCAACTTACCTATTTTAGTGGTATAATCTATGGCGCCAAAAATGAGTTCAGGAGCACGGTAATATCGTGAGCATATGTAGGAGACATTAGGTTCCCCGCGTACGAGGTGCTTCGCTGAGCCGAAGTCGCATAGCTTGAGCACGCCTGTTTTCGGGTCTAGCAGTAAGTTTTGAGGTTTTATGTCCCGGTGGCAGATGCCCAGCGAATGGATGTACGCGAGGCTTCTGAACAACTGGTACATATATAGCTGTTGAAGAGAAATTACATAATTTACTCAAGACAATTATAACTGTGAAGATGGAAATTGATGCAATAGAAGAACACTCAGAAGTTATTTAAATTATTTACCATTCAGTAACAGGCTTTGTTTGTGAAAATGGTACTGAAAAGGGACACTAGCTGACGGCCCGTGGCAACCGTCATCTACATATATATTGTACATTAATAAGGCCGTGGACGTCACTTCGTCATATGACGATCATGGTATTCTATACCATACATTTATATATTCATAAATTGTTATTATTGAGGACTACTGTCAGGCCTGCATAACCTGTAATTTCTTTGATGTATACATAGCAAAATGTATACATACAATATAAGAAAAAGAAAACAGTACGACGTTACTAAGTGTATTTTTTAAAATATAATTTCTACCTAAAATAAATAACTATTGTAGTCATGTAATCATTGTCAACATACCAGTAATGGTAATACTATTACTATACTGACAGTGACGAAAATCATATAATCTAGGAAAACACTTGTGCATTCTTACAATGTATGTATGTAATTTAAGTAATAAAAGTTAATTCATTTCGTTTTGTAACAATGCAAATAATTAACAGTGCCATTAGTCGTACTCTTAACTATTACGTCATTGAGTGACTGGTGTTTGTTTCATTAGAAGTAATGAATACAAAAAACTACGAAGTAGATATAACCAGTGTACCTTTATAAAACTAATTGGTATAGTTTGTTCATCTCTGGAGTAGTGACGAGCCACTTTATACACAGTTTCTGGTATGTACTCCAGCACCAAATTCAGGTACACTTCATCCTTCTGTAATAGCAATAAAAACATATTAATGTATATAATTAATCTAAATAAGTTATTATCATAATAATATTCTCTACTTCCTATAAATTACATTATACTTTTATTTTTTATTAAAAAATAAAATATCATTTCTTTATTAGTATCATAATTTTATATTAAATAATATAATGGTAAGTAATTACAAAAGTAACATAATAATATAGTATGACAAATAAATTAAATAAATTTGAAATATGACATATATTCTTTTCATATAAAAAACTGTTATTAAAATAAAACCCAATACATAAAATTCAACAAACATGGCATAATAAAAGTGTTTTTATATATTAAATGTGTCCACTCTCTTACAAATGCATGAAAAGCATATAAGTATGCATGTATATGTGCAAAGATAATTTTGAGATTATTCTAGTATATACCCAACCCTCGATCACAATTTTGTTGACGTAGCGTCAATCAAAGTGGTAGTGGTTTGTAATGTTGTAAAAAATTCTAAAATTTTTTTAAAAAATTCCAAGCTATCTAAATCCTTTGGGATTTATTTAAGGGCCAAAGCGAGCTATGAGAACTATCATATTGACAACTTCACTGTGTGATAGAATGCGAAACAAAAATCTACAGAAGTACAGTGAATGATAAAGTCCAACTTTAATAATCAGAAGTGACAAAGCAGTACGCAATAAAGGGAATAGTTATTTGTTACAAAATATTAAAGGTAACTAATATACAATAATAATAAATAGTATAAGAACAATAGAAATTAGCAGAATATGATAGATATATATATATATATATATATATATATATATAAATATCCCCTTGGGCACTTTGTGGCTCAGACGTGCCGTATAGGTAGTTTTTTGTTGATCCTTTTTCACTTGTTGATCCGGAGGCCTTTTGTTGATCTAATGCCAGATGACCATATATAAATGTTGATCCGTTTTGAGCCACAACTGTCACGACGAGTAATAATAATAATTAAGCGATTTATACACGATTTTATACAAATCCACCTTTTTGGCATACGAGCAGTTCTTGATCCAATTCAAACGGGCCAATCAGGGTGCAGCATTTGCCAAGGGCTTCCTTATTGGCACGTTTGGGCTACTACATTATGGCTACAGTAACTTAATAATGTCTAGCTAGTATTTCAAGAATAATAGTCTATCTAATCTAAATATTTATAGAAATCAGTCTAGAGTAACGTGACTCCAGATCAAACCTCAATACTTGTTATTTTTTGGACGGGAATCTTTTCTGTTGTAACAACGTTACTGAGCGAATGAGAAGACGCAACGACGGATCCAGGGGGAGCGTCATGGAGGTCTTGGGAGTCATGGGGGGTCATAACTCTCCTCCCCATTAGGATTTAGGTAGACTACTAATTGAACTAAAAAATAATGAAACAGCTAAATTTTTTGCACGATCGGAGTGTTGGTGCAGTGGTATTAATTATAATTAAACATTGTTACTTAAAATATAACAGTTAAAGTATTTTATTATAAGCAAAATAAGTATTTTCAAAATACCTTTACAAAAAAAAATTACTTTTTGAGTTTTTGTCCAAACCTCAGATATTTTATTTATTTTAGGTATATCAATCATTACATAGTATAGTATAGTATAAAACAAAGTCGCTGTCGCATCTAACAAGTACATAAATAAAGAAAGAAGACTTTTTGGCTCTGAATATATTTCAAAAATCAATTACTTGTGTTAATCAATTTATATACTCGTTCTTATTTCATAGTACTTGTTTTGATCCGAATATATACAGATACCGTAACGGTCTATTAATTATGAATTTATTATACCTAACCTAGATATTTTATTTTGACGAAACTCCGTGTAGTAGTAGTATCCGATAAGGGTATGCGAACCCTAAGTATTATTTCAAAATGGCCAGTAATTTCGAAGAAATAAGCCTTTGAATTTCAAATCAACTTACCAAACGGACGCTCAAGGTTCGATTCCCGCCATAGAATTTTTTTTATTATTTTTTTTGTTTTGACTTTATTTTATATTTTAAATTAACTATTTTAATAATTAAATGAATTTAATCGAACAAAAAGTTGTCAAGTATTAAATAAATTTTAATTTACATTAACTATTATACTTTCTAAATTGTAAAGCAGCTAACAATTATAGTAAGATCTTATAAATAATTAACACAACAACATTTCAAATGTATTTTCTTTATTATTACAAAATATTGTTTGTGCATGCTATAATAGTTAATGTCACTTAAAATTTATTTAATATTTAACAACTTATTTTTATCGATTAAATTCATTTAATTATTAAAATAGTTATTTTTAAATATTACTTTAAAAAAAAAACAAAAAAAAGTCAATGGTGGGAATCGAACCCGGGGTGTCTGTGTGGTAAGTTGGTACACAGGTACACTCCTAACTAGTAAAATTAATTTAATACTTAACTACGTTTTTCTCGTATAAATTAATTTAATTATTAAAATATTAAATTAAAAATAAACAAAAAGAAGTAAATAACAATAGTCAATGGTGGGAATCGAACCCGGGATGTCTGTGTAGTAAGTTGGTACACAGGTACACTCCTAACTAGTAAAATTAATTTAATATTTAACTACGTTTTTCTCGTATAAATTAATTTAATTATTAAAATATTAAATTAAAAAAAAACAAAAAGAAGTAAATAACAATAGTCAATGGTGGGAATCGAACCCGGGGTGTCTGTGTGGTAAGTTGGTACACAGGTACACTCCTAACTAGTAAAATTAATTTAATACTTAACTACGTTTTTATTATAAATTAATAATCGTATAAATTAAATTAATTATTAAAATATTAAATTAAAAAAAAAAAAATAATAAAAAAAAGTGTAGGATTGGAACTCGGAGTATCTGTGTGGTAAATTGGTAAACAGGTAAACTACTAACTAGGCCATATTGGTGTTGTTTGTTATGGTGAAAAAACTAGTATATATATAAGTTACACGTACAATTTCAAAGACTTATTTCTTCAAAACTACTGGCTATTCTGAAATAAAACTTTAGGGTTTGTATATGTAATGTTTGCATATAAAATATGATTAAAGGTTACCAGTGTATTTACACTTTTACTGAACAAACAGAGTTGTTTAGTACTGAAAATATTGTGTGGAAGCCATCCATTACTTTCCGTGCACTTATAGCTTGGATCTTTTCCTAATTATTATTATTAAGTTTTAAAGTGGTTGAATTTTGAGTAGAGTGTTTTTATACGTTATTTCTAATTTACCATTTATTTTAAGTTTTTTAAACTCTATTCATCGAGACCAATCTAATGAGTCCAAACACGATATTTCTGCTGTAAGTTTTCGAAGAGTATGTTCATCATCTGATAATACTGGTGCCAGTATGAAGTCAAGGTTAACAGATAACTAATTACTCTTATTTCGTCAAAATCTTTAGATTACGTATAATAAATTCATAATATCGCTACCTATTCGAATCAAAACAAGTATTTTAGGTACTTCATGTACTAGTATATAAATTCATCAACACACAAGTAAATGATTTTTTAAATATATTCAGAGCCAAAAAGTTTTTGTGCATTTAAAAAATTTTGCTGATACGGATTCACTAATGCAGGAAATTGTTGAAAACATATATATCGAGTACAGGTACTATCGACGAATACTTTATCTAGGGAACACGCGGGAACGCGGAACGGCAACATGTTGCCGTTCCGCCACGATACCGTTATAGTGGTAGAAAGAGAAAGACAGTGGAGTCAGCAAATGTATCTACGGGTCGTGGCTGGATCAACATAAATGTGCAAAAAAGTGCGCGTATATATATATATATATACACTTGTCTTTAATTCAAAGGAAATATAAATAATGAACGCATCACATTTAAAATAGTAATAAGTACGTAATATTATCACATGGTAACAGCACGTATTATGGCAAAAATAAACATCGGCTGATTTGAAAAGATTTATTATAGTAATAATAGTAATCTCAGGACAATTCACACAGCTTCATCTAGACCCAAGTTAAGCTAGCTGAAGATTATGTTATGGGTACTGATATAAATACAAAGATTTTTTTTCGTAAATACATATATATTATCTATACATAGAAAACACCCAGACCGTTACAAACAATCATACTCATGAATACAAATGTTTGCAGCGTGCGAGGAATCGAACCCTCGACCACCAAGCAGGAATCAAAGCGGTGTGCTAGCTAAATCGCTAGACTACCGACAACTAGCTGTACACGCAACTTCGTTCGCGTGGAATGTAACTTCTTAAATAATAGTTTTTGACTACGAGCATATGAATATAAATACGGTACATGTACTAAAATTTATTTTTATACAATTTTTGTCTGTCTGTCTGTCTGTTTGTTCCGGCTAATCTCTGAAATGGCTGGACCGATTTTGATGGGACCTTTTTTGACAGGTAGCTGATGTAATAAAGAGTAACTTAGGCTACTTTTATTTTAGAAAAATAAATTTAAATTCCACACCGAAGATTAGCCGGAACAAACAGACAGACAGACAGACAAAAATTGTATAAAAATAAATTTTAGTATATTTATATATATGCTCGTAGACAAAAACTATTATTTCAATATTAAGAACAACAGGCTTCAACATTCTCAAGTACCACAAAAAAGATGTTTTTTCTATCGAATAAACCGTTTTTATTAAAAACAAGCTGTTCCCGCGACTTCGTCCGCGTGGAATTTAACTTTATTTTTCTAAAATAAAAGTAGGCTAAGTTACTCCTTATAAATCAGCTACCTGCCAAAAAAAGTACCGTCAAAATCGGTCCAGCCATTTCAGATATTAGCCGGAACAAACAGACCGACAGACAGACAGACAAAAATTATAAAAATTGTTAATTTGGTATATGTACCTTATATATATTCATATGCATGTAGTAAAAAACGGTTATTTCAATATTACAAACAGACACTCCAATTTAATTTATATGTATAGATTTAAAAAAAGTAACAGTCATAAGGCTAGTCGTATGCCTAATATGATTTATTTATTTATTTATTCATCCAAAATAATACAAATTGTGTAGGATAATGTAATAGTAACATTACAGTAAAATTTTGTCAACAACATAATAGTAACTTAATCATCTCGGTATATCTATAGACTAGCTGGCCCCAGCGACTTTGTCCGCGTGAAATTTTATTTTATTTTTCTAAAATAACAGTAGCGTAAGTTACTCCTTATTACATTAGCTACTTGCCAAAAAAAGTCCCATCAAAATCGGTCCAGCTATTTCAGAGATTAGCCGGAACAAACAGACAGACAGACAGACAAAACTTGTAAAATATGTTATTTTGGTGTATGTACCGTATTTATATTCATATGCAAGTAGTAAAAAACGGTTATTTCAATATTACAAACAGACACTCCAATTTTATTTACATGTATAGATGTATAGATTAAAAAAAAAGTAACAGCCATAAGGCTAGTCGTATGCCTAATATATATAATAATGTAATAAATTCATTTAAACAGAAATTGCGGGAACATTATTTAAATTTGTAACTTTTTTACTGTCCTCCTTTTTTCACATCTTTCTATTATATCCCTATAGTTCTCTCTATATTTTCTGTTTTTATTACTTTCAATTTGAGACTGTACTTATAATTTGATTATCGGATCATTATGTATTTATTTATACATTTATTTTTTTATAGAAATGTATATTTTGCTTATCTTTATTATCTTTATAAATCTTTTTTTGACATTTCTTATTTATATTAGTGCACCGCCAATAATCTTTCGCTGCACCACTCATGGTTGCCTGGTAAATAACGCGGCAAAATATTAAGTCCGCCACATGTACAAATTTTTTTGTGCATTAAAGTTAAAGAAATAAAAAAAATACAATACTGTTTAATGAAAATGCGTATTGTCTAGTGCTTTGAGATGTATCAAAATAAGGTCAACAAAAAAGTCCGTGATGGTATATGTCTATCTCATAAGGATAACCAACAATAACCATTTTTTATCTTTTACATTTTACGGGAATTTTTTTTATCGTATGTTTCCCTTAAAATCATGTAAACTATGTTATTATGTCATAATCTAAAGAAATAATAATATTTTATAGTGATATATCCACTATAAAATACCAAAAAGTAGCAATGTAATTCGTTACGCGCAAATCAGCAGTTATAAGGTCAAAGGTCGGTGCAATTTGATAAATAGTGCTTCTCTGGATGTCTTTAAGAGAAAATGGCAGTATGTACGTGTATATGTACAAGTCATTAAGTGTTAAGTTTTTCAAATGTACAATAAAGAATAAATATTTTTAAGTACAGTACTTACGTACATTAATATAATACCTACTTTTTACTTGTATCTATTGTTATCAAAATTAAATTATAAGTTCTTAACTTGACCACGACTATGTGACCCTCTCTTGGCGCCAAAACGAGTGAAAAAATGAACAGCATACGACGACGACGCAGTACCTATAGAGTGGAGCAACTGCTTATTCAGTTTTATTCAACTATTTAGTCCCTCCACCGTTACAATGAATGGAGACGGATATTACAATGTATGTAGCATTGCGAATATAAAATATCTAGATTAGGTATAATAAATTCATAATTGATAGGCCGTTACGGTATCAGAGCCAAAAAGTCTTCTTTCTTTATTTATCTACTGTTAGATGCGAAAGCGACTTTGTTTTATACTACACTATGTAATGATTGATATATCTAAAACAAATAAAATGTCTGAGGTTTGGACAAAAATTCAAAAGGTACTTTATTTTGAAAAAGTATTTTGAAAATACCTATTTTGCATTTAGTATTTGAAATACAAAACAAAAAACTATTTTTGTTTTTAGAGTGACATTTCTATGAATTCACTGTCGATAGCGAGCGGTGCGATGGAAAAAGATAACCGTTTATAAAAATATAATAAATAGCCCTGGACAATTAACACAGACTGATACTGAACTGATATAAATAGATATTTTTATTTTGTAAATACATATAAAACACCCAGACCGATGAAAACAATCGATGACCGATGAGTACAATTGTTTGCACCGTGCGAGAAATCGAACCCGCGACCATCGGATGTAAAGCGGTGTGACCACCGAGGCAGTCGAAATATATAAATAATCTTATGAATTTAATTTATTCTAATTTGTTTGTGTGCGCGGGGTGCGGTGTACGGTGCTCCCCCTGCCTCCAAGCTTGCATGTATGGAGCATTGCGAATATAAAATATCTAGATTAGTAAATTCATAATTGATAGACCGTTACGGTATCTATATATATTCGGATTAAAATAAGTATCGCAATAAGGACCAGTATATAAAGTTATCAACACAATTAACTTATTTTTGAAATATATATACAGAGCCAAAAAGTCTTTGTGTATTCAAAAAATATCTAATTTGTTTGTGTGCGCGGGGTGCGGTGTACGGTGGAGCTTGCATGTATGGAGCATTGCGAATATAAAATATCTACATTAGTAAATTAATAAAGTCATAATTGATAGACCGTTACGGTATCTATATATATTCGGATGAAAATAAGTATCGCAGTAAGGACGAGTATATAAAGTGATCAACATAATTAATTGATTTTTGGAATATATTCAGAGCCAAAAAGTCTTTGTGTATACCAAAAATTTAGCCGTTCGGAGCCATTCAGTCACGAATTATTAGTAAAAAAAGTGTCGAGTATATCGTACTATCGACGAATATATATGGCCGCATCGCAAAATAGAATGCGACGTTGCCATACCGCCTGAGATATACGCGATAGAGGTCAAGTTATTCAGTGCAAAAGGTGGAATCGGCAAGTGTTTAGGTTGTGGCGTGATCAACAAAGTGCCCAAAGAGGTGTTTATATATATATATATATATATATATATAAAATCTGACTTTTAAGTTGAAACTTAAAACTCACTAAGTTTAAAATAGAATTTAGCAAATTAATTGAAATCTGACAGATTGATTATATACGAATATCTGTTGAAGAGAAAATGTTGTGGTGATAATTGCCTTCAGTTGGAGGTTTAGACCTTGTAAAATAAATTTCCTTCATTTCAGTTGACATCTTTTAAAATAAAATTTATAAATAAGTACAATAAGTAATTGAGAACACTTCTAAAAATATGCACTAATTATCTACTAATTAAATAGTTAAATCAAAATTTACTTTGCACTTAACTTATATATTTTTTTCAAACGTGTCTTTTAAAACGCTTACTGTAACGTCATTATAATTTTTATGTGTTTAGGAAATGAAAATCATGAACGCGAGTGTCGATGGAACGGAAAAAGCCATCTCTCAAAGTAACACAAGTGTAAGCAAGCAAACACAAATCTGATGATAAACAAACAAATGATATTCTTATTGATGAACAAATCAAATCATATATATTATAATATAAAAGCATATCATCATAATATGATTTGTGGTATGATAAAGGATTTCTCAAGTATGCACACAATTGTTAGGCTTCGGAGTTACCGATCGATACTTAAACTCTAGCTGTATAATTTATGAGTACAAACACTGATGATTTTCATCTACGAATACATATTGTTCGGTAACCCTTGCCAACAAACACCGTAGACCTAATATGTGCGTTAGCACACTAGCGCAAGAATTTGAATGGTTCTGACATACTTCAACTTCAAGAGACTGCATTGCGTTTAACATTGCGCTCACTGCTGCGGGCACTGCCGCCTTCCCCCAAATAAAACACACAAATAAAACTCCCTTAATTACCAAACTAAAAATTCAATTATTAAAAAATACATTTGCTATACATAATTAGTTTCTTATTAAAAAAATATGCAATTTAATAAAATATTTACCTTTTCTCCACTAGAATAAAAGAAGTATTTCAATTTCACAATATTACAATGTTCCAATCGTCGCATGATTTGAAGCTCTCGATTCTGAAATGTATTGAATTATGTTATTAGATTAGTACAATTTCAATTAAACTATAAAACATAGTGATGTACTTATAACACTGACAATGATATAGTTACTCGTACTTAATTACCTTAAACCTTTTGTCTTGGAGCACCTTTTTGATCGCAATAAGTTCGCCGGTGTCACATAGTTTGGCCTGGTAAACGACGCCGAAGCTGCCATTACCGATGAGCTTCATGTCCGCATAGCTAACTTCTTGTGGCCGATCCGGGCCTTGTCCCGGCGTTGCCACTACAGTCGTCACCTTCGAGCCGTCCTTGCCTGTAACGAAGTAAGTATGATTGTAAGAATACATTAAAACATATTACTCTAAACTTCTTCAAACATAAACATTATTTGCATTGCAAACGAATTAAATCCAATGTCAGATGCATAAAGATAGTTCAAATTTCTGTATTTCTCCATAATTAAAATTACCACATTATAGGTATAGATTTAAATAGAGTGCGACTGTCCAGAATTTATATGTTTCAATATTTACATATTTTAACTCTGATTATTACGAACACTATTTAAAAGCTTATAACAATAATTTGAATGGTAATGATAATAATTATTTATGCTTAACACAAAATTTATACAAGTATATATAAAACCAACTTGAATAGAACGATTGAAACAATAAACGAACTACGAAAACAGTTGCTTTCCACATATCACAGCTACAAAGGTTTTTAATCAAATTAATGTAATCAACAATCGTCATATGATAATTAACCTTCTGTGTATAAATCGTCGTTACAGTTCCTACATATCAATTCTATATACTGTTCGAATATTATAATAATTTTATTTTTATACATTTATACATTTTTATTATACATTTTTTTTAAATAATATTTATTGAATCATACTATTTAGAGTAAGATTGATATAGTACCTACCTATATCTATGAGGACAGTTTCTCTATGATTTATCCAGTATTAATTTTCTTTTTTAATATTTTCCTTTACCTCCAAATTGTAAATAGAAGGCAATCACAAACATCTATTTTTGAATGAAAGTACGATAACTCTTTATTATTTTCATACAGTGCACTTTCAAAGCAAATAAAACATTACACAACGCATACTCAAGGATATACACCAAAATAAGTAGTGACGATGCATTATTACCAACGTCTCTAACGCGTATGTTTAATTCTTCTATTCTCTGTAGGTAGGGTTTAATGTTGCAATGTAAAAGTAGAACGACGGGAGGTAGAAGTGGGACCCATGTCTAAATGTATGACACGACTGTTCACGGTCGGTCGGATCACTTCACAGAATCAGGTCGACACCTCGTAGCAATGCGGAGGAAGCGTCCCCCGCACGAACATATTCAATGGCATTAAAAAGTATATACAGATATAATTTAAGTAATAACATTATAGAAGAGTAATTAAAATCTAACAGTAATAATCATGTAATACTAGATAAAGTTGAATTCTTTTTTGTAATATATCAGTAAACATATCATTAAATATACATAATATATAAAACTGGTCGTTTAAGTATTTTATTCTAAAATTATATCAGTAAAAGAATCTATAAAATGGAAATAAGTAAATAATTTCTAGAATTAGATTAGGTCTGATTGTTAAATGTTCACAAAAATAGCATCCAAAATGTCATAACTATATGTTTTCTGGTGGTCTATAAAAACCTGGATATCGTACTAATAATATCACCCACTAATAATATATTTAAGACGATTAATAATTAAAGTCACATGCCCAGATCGTAACAACGAAATCAGGCCAAATATGTACGTATATTTATTTCGGTGTGACCTAATAAAATTTTTAATGTAGCAGAAAAAATACATATAGAACATATAAATAAAATAACAGATGAAGTTCAAAGAATGAACAGTTTAGTCTTCATTTAATCCTATAGATTTTTTGGAGTGACTGCAGCGTACTCATAATTTATGTACTTCCTCGATTGCGGTAGATCGACGAGGATCTCTATGTGTGTAAGTATGTATCTATACAAAATTAATTTATATTAATTGAAAAAACAACCACAGCATGTTCTTGTAATATTATTATCTTTATTTTCATTATACAACTGAATCAAAATAAAAAGCATATTGGATATAGATATAAGAAACAAAATGGGAACATTTTGTTTGTTATATCTATATCCAATATGCACATATTTTTTATCCAGTTATTAGCATTGTACTATATTTATATTACCGAAATACTTTCTTTTTGTATAAAAATATATCGAACTAGAGAAATAAATTCGAATCTACACATTGTATTAGATTCCAATTAGTATAAACGATGTGAGTAATGCTTTCATTTTCAAATATGTATATATTATAGAAGTCAATACTCCACTTACATCAGACCCGGCCAGTATCATTATATTTTTTGGCCCGAATTCGTGATTTCAATATCATCATTGTATATGATATATATGTCATATACAAACAGGCAAATAATCTACGGTATGCTATAAAACTTGAGCGAAAATAGAATCACAGTAATTTTAAAACTTTTTCTATATACCAATTGTGTAACATGTAAACCCTTCTTAGCTGATACCTCCATTACTAAGAAAATCTTTGCACAAGAAATTTTAACTAACTTGCTCGAGTAATATCAAGGTCCAACCCTATATAAGTGCTTTAAAACATTTCCTAGTGACAACAACATATTTGTAATGTTGGAAAATAAAACCTTATTGTAAGCATTGCTATTATTTAGGTACGTGAATTACAGTTTATTTTTATCACTTTCTATAGCGGAAAGAATTGTTGTTTTTAGCCATTAGAAATAAATATACAATCGTTTCACTTTATAAGATTAATTTAGACTAGATAACGTAGTTTGTGAGAAATATCAGACAATGTAAAATAAAGAGAAAGATTATCCATCACATAGCATTTTATATGTGCAATTATACCACACCCACGTAGGAACCCTTATTGACGTAAGTTCAACCATACTCCACCCTTGTTTATCAGCATTCTATCTAAGTACTTTCACTTTATTTATGGCAATAGGTAGCTGTTAAGCCCGACCATTCAAGTCTCGTTGAAGTGTGTACTAACGTGATTCAATTAATAAATATTTTATGTGCTCAACAACTGTTTAAGTGTACTTGCCATAGATACTTAGATTTTCTTGAACATCGAGGTTTATTAGTTTACTATCTCAACAAAAAATAAGGTCTAGTTCGAATGTGGCTTACACCAAAATACTTAGCGTGTAAATTAATAGTCCTGACGGACTCTCCGGTGAAGGAAACACAGATGACAAAGCTAACTTCATATGATAGATGGCGGTAGGGATTGGATTCATGTATGTATTGACATCAGGTGCTACTTTAACCACGAAGTCGGCAGATGACAAAATGTCTAACTAGTTCATCTAGGATTACAGTTGTGAAAGTATTCTTAACAATATTTTATCTACAATGAGTGGACTGTGTGAAAAAATATGGCGTAAAAGAAGAACGAGTTCAGATTCCATATATGATATCTATGATATGACAGCAGATAAAGATCAGTCAAAAGGAAAACAATGCGCCGAGCCCGAATACAAAGGTAATAATGATTCCTATTAATGTTAAAGAATTCCTATTAAAGAAATATAATGGCAAATGTAAATTGTGGTGGAGGAATTTCCCTACAATTCTCGAAAAAAATTACTGTAGGTAGGTACCTACAGTAATTTTTTTCGAGAATATTATATAATGCTGTTAGTCATAGCTGACCTTTACACACACATACCTCTTCAATACTACTGCGCTAATTCCAACATAAACGGGCGTTAATTCGATCCCTGTTTAAATGCACACAGAAACAACCGAGTAGAGCAAGGGGAAGGAACAATAGAAATAATTCATTTTGAGAACTTATATCACTATGTCTTATCATCTCTATATCAAGGTTTCAGTAATAGACATAGATTTAACAAAAAAATATCCACAAATACAGAACATCCCTCATAAAATTAAAAAAATTAATGAAACACGGGCCTTGACGATTATATTTACTCTGTTAAATTTTTTAAAAAGTAAATACTGTTATCCGACTTGTAAAACATTAAATTATCAGTTAAAATATCAATAATTAATGATTCAATAACAAATATTGTTAACCTCTACAACTTTATTCCTTCCACACAGAAACATACAGAACAAGGAAATTATATGTATAACCGTATATTCGAAATTGACAGGCGATGTCAATATACAATGCGCGGCATATTAAAGTGCATATTTTTTCTAACGTTGCTAGTTGCAGATAATTAGGTGAAAGTTAAAAAAATTAATGATTCGATTATATTTACTGCTGCTATTTTTCATTCTTTTGGACTTGTAAAATATTTAATTACGTTAAATGATAATAATTAATGACAATAACAAATATTGTACAGTGTATCTCTTCTGTAGTCTCTTCTCCGTAGTAATACAGCTGTTACGATTTTTAAAAACTACAAGTTTTCATTTCTCATTTCTTCGGTAATTTTCTTAAGTATATTTTTTCTGATTTTATTAATCACTGATAAGGAGTGGTTTTAACATACCGTTGCATACATCTACGTGGTAGCTCGCGAATAAAAATATAGGAATCGGTTTTGAAATTATGTCTTTTACGAGTGTATTATAAACCAGAGTATGTACATAATAATATACTAATTACGACTGAGCAACTAAACAGTAGTTGTAGCCAATTTGTCTTATCTTATTCAACAACAAACTATGTGCACAATATGTTTAAAATTTTAGTCACAATATGACAGAATATCTTCTTATTCTTAATTCTGTAGTGACCACCTGAAATGCTTATCATTATCCAGGAATATCTATTAATTAAATATCTATGAATAATGGTATTTAAATTAATAATTATTAAACAATTATGAGACTTTATTCAGAAATAATAGCCACAATGTACCAGAGACCTGCATGCGATCCTTCCAACATATAACATAATAAGTTATCTCACCTACATCATATACCACTAGTCCCCCGTCAGCATATAACGTTAGTACAGGCACAAGTAAAAGCATCATATTATTATCACTCACTAAAATAAGAATTAATTTATGGTTAAATAATGTTTTAGAAAAAGAATTTCGCTTACATTCATTATGTAATGTACTACACATTAAATGTAAGCGAAATTCTTCATATTCATATCAAGTAACTTACTTTATTTACTCAGCTTGATTTATTTAATCATCAACATTAACAAATTAACTGTGACTAATGAAATGGAACATTATAGCGTATTTACAGTAGGTACTTGTTGTATGTCGTGTCTTTGCTCGTATCATTTTTAAGATATAAAGTAGTTCTGTGCATTATACTAAAATGGTGTGCATGAAATTTTATTCAAGTACTTTCAGTAATAAAAGTAATAATATTTATAATGTGAGTAGTACTTATTACTTTGTAAATGTTCTTCTATAATTTCACTTGTCCTCCCACAACTGTTTAACTTAATACTATCTGAGTGTTGATTATGCAAATATAATTTTTCATTCATTAATTATTTATGAGGAAGCTCTAGTCATTCACGTTTCAGTGAGTCTCTTTGACGACCTCGGTAGTCTAGCGGTTTAGCATACTGTCTTACTTCCGATGGTCGCGAGTTTGATACCTCGCAGAATACAAATATTTGTATACATGACCATGATTCTATTGGTATGGGTGTTATCTATATATATAAATAATGTATGTATTATTAAAACAAAGTATTATAATATCAGTTCAGTACCCACACATAAGTCTCACAACTCTGCTTAACTTACGACTAAAGACTCTGTGTAACTTGTCAGGTGTTGTTATTTTTATTAAAACTTAGTCCATCTTAACTCCGACATTTTCCGTAATCTGCCTAATTCATCATGCAGTACACAATGTCTTGATCCTCCTTATTTCTATGTATATGAATTTTCATAAATATATCACAATATATTTATTTTATAATTCTTTAACTTTGCATACAACTTCTTCATTGGTTAGTATATATTACAGGTTATTTCCCTTAACTTTTAACTTCAAATGTTCTAAGTTAGTGACCTTTAGGGTTAGTGACTACCTCTAATATATTAAAGTTATACTCGTAATACTTAACAGGTACCAGTTAGCGGTCTTCGAGCTGCCTTAATATTTTATCCAAAGATATTTTAATAATTGAGGAAACCTTTTTGTCTTGGCTGCTTTGGCTTCGACATTTAATTAACAATTAAATTTGACTTTTGTATACGCTGAATTTACATCACGCAAGTAGAATAAACATTGTAGATTTGTATTTCATACGCATATAACGCTTTTTCTTTATTTTAATTATTAAATAAAAACAAATTAAACTGGAAGATGACATGCTAAAGCCCAATTATATATTAGTGGCTATATTTCTATTCTGTTAAAATATCTTGCAAATTTGCCGTTTATTTTTACAACACACAAAATGGAATGAAATATATTCACGATTTTATACAACATATACGTTATTATTTATATCTTTAGCAGTGAAATAAGAATAAAGCCATAAAAGATCAGAATTTAAAGAGTACTGTAACACACACTCGCGACATTCATTAAAACATAACATAAGCACGTATTATATCTATTTGAGTGAATTATGTATTATCATTATAAAAAATAATATTTTGCTACAACAACATCGATCAGACCAGAACATAATAAGTACACACAAAAATTTAAACACATGAAGTGAATAAGAAATATTACGACGTTTACTGCAAATGTCCGCTAACTTTATATTTTGATAACGAAATTTCAATTAATGCATTTTAAAAAACAGTCAGGGGAATATCGCATTTTACACGCCGTAATACATTTATGATAGTGAAAATCTAAAAGAAAATTGTGGCACTACAATCCAGCTAATAACGTGCGCCATATCTAGCACTTACGATGCGAGGAGGCAGCCTTCTTATCCGTAGCCAGCTCGGTTTTTTTAGGAGTATCCACGTCGCCTGCACGATGCAGCAAAACACAAAAGCAGTATTAGAACATTGAAGTACTCAAACGCGCACAGGAATTTTATAGAAAACATCAATAACATTTATAATCAGAGCATATTATGTGTAATGATAGAACAATAACACGGGACTAATATATCGACAACTGATATTTAGACACTCACTGATAGTACGTCGCAATTTTTTACAAAATGTTGAGAAACGATCGCGGGCGCGGCTTAATTGGCCGCTTCTTTCAGTGTCAAGTAAACACAGCAGCGAGGGTTCGGAACGCGCATTGACTTTTCCAACGGGATGTATGGTCGCCGTTGTTTGGCCATCGGACACTCCTAGTTTGTCGAAGCATACCGGCCCAGAACACTCCAGTTTGGATGACAGTATCGCACGCGAGCGCGCGTTGTGGTAGACTGCCGGCCGTCAGCGCGGTACGTGAGTTCTCCGCCCCTCCCCATGTCCCCATGGAGGTGTTAGCCCTCTTTACAACTCACTCAGTTTTAATTCTAACCTTAGGCTAACTACATAAAAGACTTTGTTACGAAGCATCTTACAACTATTTTGTTTTATAATTAACATCTGCATACAAATTGTTTCACAATAACAACCTAGGTTTCAGCAGAGTAAATCATAAGATGATAGTGGACACGACTACTTATAGTCGTAGAGGGTAAACATAACAATATCAACCACAAACCCTAAGTGGGTTTGATATATTAAACTTTCGTATGTAGTAGGATGAGGAAAAAAAAGTCCATATTATATAAACACTAGACAATTAACTGAATAACTAACAATAAAATCAAGTGATCATGCAAAAATTTATAAGCGCTAAGCGCAGAAATGTAGTCTACTCTGCTGTATGTAGTATTGAAACCACCACAATCAAAGCAATTAAACTTATACATTCATCCATCAATTTGATTCCGTTATGGAAAATAATGAACGCAAACATCTTAGAATCCACTGAAGCAAAAAAATCTGGCAAATTAGTTGCTCTGACGGAATTAGAGTCCGAGTCCGAGAGTCTTATGAATAAACGATTCAACTTACACTATTAAATATTTGAGTAAAAATCCGTCCTAATCGTAAATAGTACATTAAAATCCTTATATTAAAATTGACTGCATAATGAAGTTTCGGTGTGACATGTGACAGATTTTTACTAATTTAAAGTGACTGTGTGACACAAGTGACAAGTCCTTCAGGAAGATTTTTCAGTTTGAGTTTATGATCACTGCTATGATTGAACAATTATATTAGATTATTTTAATAACTGTAAGTTTTATTATAGGTATAGTTATAAAAAGTTACACACAGGCCTTAGGAAATTATGAAAATAATGTTATCTAGAAAAATGTATTTTCTTTGTCATACGGTATACAGTCGCAATCAGAATCATTATCACGGGGCATGTGTTCGTGTTGTCCTTTTTATACAACTGGTGATAATTTTTGCAATGTGACGTCATAAGCAAAGAATGAAATAACAAATAAAGTTACGTATACAATAACAAAAGAATACACGCAGTATATGCTAAAATTAGTTCTTACAGAGTCGATTGTTAGTATTGTAATAAAATTACAATATTAATAAAATTGCAGTGTAAAGGGTACTTTACACTGCAATTTTATTACACACACATAAAGTTACTGTGATATTAGGTTAGGTATAACCTAATATCACAGTAACTTTATGTGAATGGTGTGCTTAGAGTTCTATAGTTAGTTTCAGTAGTATATTATATGTACTTATTTATTATTATCTGACATTACAAGTTACAGAGAGAGAGAAAGCCGGAAACCCTACAACCATTTGAAAAATTATTTATTTAAAAGAAAATTATTATTCCAGAATAGCATAAGCTAAAATATACAAAACTATCAACTACCGGACGATTCCGGGGCGGGCCAATAGTTTTCCATAAACTATGTTTGTTAAACCTCATATTTTTTTAGTGGTTAAGATTAATGACTTGTGGTTAAGTTTCGATCAGTTCCTAATTGAGCAAGAATCTACGTGATTTGCCGACATGTTGTGAACAAAATATAAATCAACCACGTAAACTGTCATTATTTGGTTACCATGCATGATTACCTACTAATGGGATTACAGCCTCAGCTTATTTATAGCACAGATAGACAATTGGATTAGAAGTTTTAGTGAAGTTTGTTGGGTTCTTGTCACGCACGTGATACCCTGATACTATACACCTGACTTTTGATATACTTTCCCTTACGGGATGCAGGTTATTAGGAAATTTTAGTAGCTAAAATTTATAGACAACAATGTATAATAGATATATTAGATTATGCTTTATTCCACTTCTACATTATTATAATATGTATAAGAATTGTATAAGAAAACTACTAAAATATTTGTGTAAGAAACTATACACTATTGCAGTGTATTAAAATATATAAAAGACTGTTGTAGATAACTATTGTCTTTTTAACTAAAATGTAGGTTCTCATGCCGTATAAAAGGAATTTCTAAATCAACAAAATGTTTAAGGCATAAAGTCATAGTGTTGATTTTATTAGCAGCACCTTTTTAAAAAATATTAACTATTTATGTCGCAGGAATAGTCTTCTATAATAGAATTAGAACACATATTAAGCAGCATGTCCATAAACTAGATAATAAATAATACTTTAGTCATCTCACCGTAGTTTTTAATATATAACTATTTAAATATAGAAACTAATAAAAATAACTTTTAACTAGAAATAAAACTCCATATTTCATATGGAGTTTTTTTTTCAAATCTTGAAACAGTGAATTGATAATAACCGATGGGTATTTTACATAAGTCGAAACTTAAATCTAGCAACTACAAACTACTACAAATATTAAGAAAGCCTACTTATTACATAATTGTATTAGAAAAATCTTCTAACTTATATTTTTTATTCTATAATAATATAATTTAACGCGTGCAAAATCGCCCCTCAATACAAGATTTTTATACTGCATTCAATACTTTCATTGTTTAAGATATACCATGTGCCTCTTTCGCAATTTAGTACGTATTATAAAAAAATCTGCCAACTGCGGAAGGGATGAGCTAAATGCGTACATAATACGACATGACTACGCAATAATGAGTGCGCGATACTACTTTGTGCAACACATAGCATAAAAGTAACAAGTTGATGCATTTCAAATTTATCGTACTTCATTAGATATCTCAATCGTTTTGTTATCAGTTTCTATTACATAAAAAACTGCCTATTTAGGTAAACCATGCACGATTCGAAACCGGAGAATGCCATTGTTTGTGTAAGGCGATATCATCGTTGCGGTTTTCAACGCTTGTCGCGCATGCTCACGGCTTTTGCATTTGGCCAAGGTTTCGCAGTCCGTCACAATACTAACCGCCCGTAGATAATAGGGGAACCGGTCCTGTCGCCTACATGACACATCGCTCACCTTACACAGACGCCAGAATTAACTTCAAAGCTTTGAAAATGATTCAAAACATATTGGTGCAAATAAAAGTTACAGCGTACATTTCCATTATAATTGGACCGAAATTATCTAACACTATTCCACATATTGATATAGGTACTGGTAGTTTCCAATAGCGCTGTGATAAACAAACGAACTCTTGAAAGAATAAGTCAATAACCAAACTGGTTATCCTATATTGCTCTAACCAACAAACTACATATAATTTTTGTAATATACTTAGTAGAATAAAATAAATAGTCAAAAGGGTCAAGTTCCAAGAGAGGCGAAGTTATTAATAGATGACACTAAGCAATGGCAAAAGTATTCCTTATATTTTTTTAATGATCACTAATCACCAGTTTATGTATGGAAGTTTGTTGTTTCTGCTTATATACTGAAAGTCAGGCTAGTGCAATCTGAAGACGAACACTTTCATTAAACTAAAAAAAGAATTTCTACTATAAGTCGGTACTAAAAAATGAAAAATGGATAGAAATAATTAAATTATTTTTTCGTAAAAGTAGGTAGGTACATTGTCAAAAAATCTAGATATATACAACCGGTCATACGTAATAAAGTATACAAATGTACATATTGTGCGAGTTCGACATACTGTCACTGACACAATATGAATCAGCCAAGGTTATTACTTTGTTAAAGCAAATTCTAGTAGATGATTTTTCTATGATTCCGATTTCACATCGATACGATTATGTCAAAATTTTGTCTGCCGCCAGTCCTTCAATAGAGAAATGTCATAAGCGGAACAAAGCATACATTGTGATATTATCAGTAGCTATTCGTGTCTATAAACGGCGGTTAACACTTTCTGTTGTCAGCTTGTTTACCATTCCCTGTGAAGGGCGATCACATTATATAGGAATGTTTTCTATCCTTAATGACAGAAAAGATATAATACATCTACCGCCCCAAGTTACATGATCTTTGCTACTAAAGCGTTTATTGGTATGAACAGAACAGAAATAACATGGTCACTGATAATTAGATCATCAAATACTATCTTTGCAAGATAAAATATGTTATCTAATTTGATATTGTATATACTAAAGACACTGAAGAAAACATTTGGTGGGATGTTGGTAATGTAATAAATCTATCATATAACTCGTAAATAACAAATTAAACATGATTAATGAGACTTTATTTTTAACTTACTAAATAAAATAGAAAAATAATAATGTACTTTCAAATTCTGAACAAAGATGTTAAAATATGTCCAATGCGAGTGAATTCAGCTTATAACGTCTTTTTGCGTTAGTGTGACGTGCGTAAATGTCTCTAATTATAAGTTTCGAATATATATGAACTGGGATGTAATGTAAACAACCTGGGCGTATGTCCAAGGAAGGCCATGGTTATGACGTTAACCTCATATTGCGAGGATGAGATATAACGTATAAATGCTTTACAATATGATTATTGAACAAGGTGGGTTAATTGCGTTTATTAAATGACTAGCGATTCATTCCCGGCTTCGCACGACTTAACAAGAAAATTCATAAATTTTAAAGTTACGAATAACGGGG